CACACACCCCCGCACACACACACATACACACACCCCCACACACACACCCCCGCACACACACACATACACACACCCCCACACACATGTGCAGATTTCGTACTTCATGTAATCGTGTATGTAAACAGTTAATACACCAGCATAAGGGGTGGAATAAATAAAGCAGAACTGAATAAACAGAAAAATTATAATTAGTCAATAATAAGCTATAAATAAGTTAGATGGTCTGTCAGTTAAAAGTTCAGATGCACTCTTCCTTCCGTATAGCAGAATCCCATTGAACACTGACTGAAAACATAACTTACAGATTACCAAGGTTCTCATTTTAGTCTTTTCCATCAAAAAGACCTTGGGACGCTTCCGGCAGTGGTTAGTATGTCATGGGGAGGCATGCTGTGCATAGCACAGTGACCCTAGGAGGCGTCAAGCACGTTCAAGCACGAGTGATTTCCTCAAGGTCAGCCACTCGAAAGGCACCTGGGGGCGCTCCTGGCCCCTTCCGGCAAACTCTGCTGTCTTAAGTGAACCTTCTCTTAAGAAATCTAAAAAAACACTGAAAAATGCTGCCAAAAACAAATGAAGGATAACTTTTTTTTTTTGGTAATGACCAGTTGAGCAACAGCAGCAACAACAGCATTCCCCCAGAGCAAGATGATATTTTAAGAACTTATTTTATTGAGCAGATCACATGACTATACCACCGAGGGAGGGGCTTATAGAAGTCATAATATTGTCAAATTCAGTAGAGCTGATGTGCAGGAAAGGTCACAGAGGTGCATCATGGGAATTCAAAAACAACCCCAACTGCTAATACATGCTGCTTCATATTATATATAAATTATATTTTCTGCATAAACTTTCTATTGCCTCCTTAAAAACAATATTGTGCTGTCTGGGCTGTTGTGCTGTGTTATCTAATCTCAAGGTTACCGACAGCCCGGGAGACGAGCATCTGGGGGGAGACATATTACCAACCCAATTTCGGCAGCTCAAGCGATTCGGTTACTGCCGTGCTTGACGGAGAAGGTAATGTTGGGGAGCCAGACAGCCGAAATATTAAAGATTTGAAAAATACTCTCCTAAAACATAGAAGAAAAATCAATATTAAACTTTCCACGGCAAAGAAAAAAAAAAATCATTTGTAGCACAGGTTGCATTCTCACAAGCAACCTAAAGATGGCAGTACTACCCCATTATTTTGTCATGCTCATTGAAGATTTGTGAACTACGGTGCTGCTATTTACAACAATCAGCCATAACATTAAAACCACCAGTCTAATATTCTGTAGGTCTCCCTCATGCCACCAAAACAGCTCTGACCTGACAAGGCTTGGACTCCACAAGACCTCTGAAGGTGTCCTGTGGTATCTGGCACCAGGACATTAGCAGCTTTTCTGTTCAGTCCTGTATGATGTGAGGTGGGGCCTCCATGGATCGGGCTTGTTTGTCCAGCACGTCCCACAGATGCTCAATCAGACTGAAATCTAGGGAATTTGTAGGCCAAGTGAATACCTAGAATTCTTTTTAATGTTCCTCAAACCATTCCTGAACATTTTTTGCAGTGCGGCAGTGCGGATAACAGGGAGTACTGTTCCCATGAACATGTTCTTGTCTGCAACAATTTAGGCAGGTGGTACGAGTCAATGTAATATCTGCATGGATGCCAGGATCGAGGGTTTCCCAGCAGAACGTTGCCCAGAGCATCACACTGCCTCCGGCAGCTTGCCTTCTTCCCATAGTGCATCCTGGTGCTTACAGCAGTAGACAGGGGTCAGCATGGGCACTCTGACCGATCTGGGGCTATGCATCCCCATATACAATAAGCTGTGATGCACTGTGTTTTAACACCTTTCTATCATATCCAGCATTAACGTTTTTCAGCGATTTCTGCTACAGTAGCTCTCCTGTAGGATCAGATCAGACAGGCTGGCCTTCACTCCCCAAGTACATCAGTGAGCCTTAAGTGCCCATTACCCCATTGCTGGTTCACTGGTTGGCCCTCCTTGGACCACTTTTGGTCGGTACTGACCACTGCATATCGGAAACCCCACAAGACCTGCTGTTTTGGAGATGTTCTGACCCAGTGGTCTGGCCATTACAATTTGGCCCTTGTCAAAGGCCCTCAGATCTTTACACTATAAAGTTTTTCCAACACATCAACTTCAAGAACTGACTGTTCACTTGAATAATGTATAATTTCACCCTTGACAGGTGCCATTATAACAAGATAACCAATGTTATTCTCTTCACCTGTCAGGGTTTTAGTGTTACAGCTGATTTGTGTATGTATTTGTATTAAATGCACAAAATAAATAAATTAGTTTAAATATTAATCTTTACATACATTATCAATCAACACCTATTCTGCTGGATATACAAGACTAACAAACATCCAAAATGGATATGCACAACCATTAATTCTACTTTCCGTACAAGTATTAAGGAAGCATTCCTCTTGCAACCTCTTACCCTGAACTGTATCGCAGCCATCCTAGGGCATAAGTCAGCAGTACGCACTGGACAGCATGCCAGTCCATTGCAGGGCACATACATACTATTGGCAATTTAGCAATTAGCGTAACTCTGGTGTATTGCAACAGCAATAAAGGGTTTTTCATCAATCAATCAATGCATGTCTTCTGACTGTAGGAGAACCTGATGCCACGCAGGGAGAACATGCAAACTCAACACACATCGAGTGCGAGGCAATACTGCTACTGGCTGAGCCGCCCTATCAGTGGCCCTATTGGACTTTGGTCGAACGCCTATAGCAGCAAATAACTTCACAGACAGCGTGAAGGGTTACGCTATTTATAGCAATATAACACTGAGCTAACATTGCATTTACATATTTCGCAGACGCTTAAGTCCAAAGCAGCATACAGGGTAGGCAGATAGTAGATTGCAAGCATTCAAGCTGTCGAGGAGAGTCCTCTAGGTAAGAGTGCAGCTAGGCTGAGCTCACAATGAACACCCAGGTACGAGTGTAAGCAGTACTGGAGCTACACAGCAACTACACAACTTTACATAACCTTTAACAATGTAAGAACTTAATAAGACTCAAGGGCCAGTAAATGCAATTCAAGAAACGTTCAACAAACAATTAGGTTAGTAGAGGAATTCATGGAACTGATGGGTCTCAAGGTTTCTCTTAAAGGAAACCCTACAGGCATCAGCCTTGACCCTGCAGCAGTACCCGAGAACCCCTGCCCTCAGCTTCTTGTGGCGTTCATCTCCACCTCCTTACCTCCTGTTGAGCTGCTCCATTTGCTGCACAGAGCCGGATCTCTGGATGCTGTTGGACTGGCCAGCCGTGCTGGGGTGCTGCCAGGTGGTGGTGCGGTTGATGTGGTCCACGTAGAACACGCGCCCGTGGCTGTCGATCCGAGCCTCCCAGTCTGCAGGAACGGGACAGGGTACGAGATCCCAGTGAGGGTCAACAGCCTGGAAGGCGCATCCAACCCCCAGGGGGTCAAAGGTCAGGTGTGGAGAGCCAATCATCATCCCGATGCAGTAGCTAGGCAGTGCAGCAGTTAAGGAATGTGGCAACAACTTGATGGTAGCTGGTTCAGATCCTCATGCTGGTTTTGCTGTGGTACCCTTGTTCAAAGCTCTTAATGTGAATTATTCTAGTAAGATGTCCAGTGTAGGCAAAAATAAAACTTTAAAATAAAAGAATCAAACAACTGGACCTAATTGTGGACATTGCCAACATGGAGCTAAATGAAACACACACAGTATAGTTAGCAAACGACTAACCGTACAGAGTATATTCCACTAAAAATCTACTTATACAACTAGATATTTACTTCAGGATTTCAGCACAATGATGCCAGAGCTGATGTGTGGTTCAGTAGGTTAAGTATGCTGTGCATGTATTTGGAAGGTTAGTAGTTCAAATCCTAAACTCAACAGAATGATATCACTGCAGGGCTGGCTCTATGTTTGCCAGGGTCCTGAGCAGAGCTTTACTTGAGTGGCCCCCCTACTAAGAAAACCGATGATCATTTCACTTTATTCATAATGTAGATAATTCAGAGGCCCTAGACACATTCTACTTAACCCCCAATTACTGCAGGTACTGGCTGACCCTAACCCTTCTTAAAAATGTATGTTACTTTGGATAAAAGCTTTCATCTAAATGTAAAGATGTCTGCCTTTCCCCATCCATCCATCCCCATCTTCTGTACCTGCTTTTCCTATTCAGTGTCACAGGGGTCCAGACCCTATAGGGCAAAGGCAGGGACCAACTCAGGATGGGGCGCAAACCCACTGCAGGTCTGCCGTTATCCAAATGCAAATGTTAAATGTAACACTGTGCCTGACCGTCGATCCCCAGCCTGGTCACCACTAGCATGTGTCCTGAAAACCGTTGGAAGGCTCACCGGCAAAAAGAGGAGCCCGTTGGGCTGTGCCAAATTGGGTTAGAAGCCCAATGCACCACGGGGTGCCTGGATGCTCCATTAAAAATCTGATGCGTAGCTGGTATGAGGAGGAGGAGGTGGAGGAGGAGAAATGGCTCTTAGAACTAAGAAACGAGGTTACGAACTCCCCCGCAATGCCTCGACTTATTACGGCCGGTGTGGAAAATGGAAGTTTGTAGGAATAAGAAACGTAGTTTTAAAAGTGCCCCTGTACCCTCTTCTGCACCCTGCAGGGAGGACATGTTGTTCGTTCTGAAAGCTTCCTTTCTATCGGACTCCGGAAAAAAAGAAACGGGCATTAACTTCTTATGTCAGGCATGAAGAAGAGCTCAGTGGCGATCAGAAACTCCATTCAGTTTTATTTTGTTCCCCTAAGCCACAGAGAGATGCTGCCTTTGGCCGGACGTTTCAATATTCGACACACGGAGCAAGAATGAGTCCATATATAGAAATGCACAATTAGTGTGGTCTAATGGGGCTATGAACGGGGGTCTTCAGGAGGCTGGGGGATTGTAGACAGGCAGGATGTAAATGGCCATCATTATTAGCCAGCCAATAAAAGATGCATTTGCCCAGGGGCTTAGATTTGGGTATGAACGATAGGGACATGTCCCTACTTCTATTGTGGGAGTAGTATGTGTTTTGAGGGGGCGAGCAAGGGTTTGGGGCTAATTCCGTCTCCAACAATGCTGAACCCAAACCAATGGCCTTCAATTTGCTGGATGTTTAATGTGGCCGGTAGTGTTGCTGGGTGATGCGGCAGTTGAGGGTTGGGGGAAGTGGGTGAAGAGGCAGCGCTCTGTCGTGATGATCTCAGATTCCCAAGAAATGAAGTACTGTGATGATATGGTGATTGATTTTATAGGAGATGCAGGGGATGATGGGAAATGGGGGGGGGGGGGGCATGTGCATCGTGGCGTAAAGTCGAATGCCCTCGCTGGGGTGCACTGAAAGGGACAATCTGTCAAGCGCCAAAGGAAGACGGGTCGACTTCCCCTCATGACTCATTCGGGATTTATAAGCACTTTCAGCACAGGCCCGTAATTTGCCCTAAAAAAAGCCACAGCAGTGAGCGTTTCCCTTTCTCTGTGGTCAGCAGCTGTCAGTGTCCCTAGGATGCTGCTGTCGGTTGGTTCTTTATTTTTAGCCCTTTGACTGGATGCCAGATTCAGAGTTACAACCAAAAAAAAGCCCATCGCTCCCCCGCACTCCGCTTCTGACGCGGGATGGTCCAAACGGTTAAACGAGGGGTGCCAAGCCATCGCTAAATGGCTTACGGCCCATGTCAGGTCCGGGATGGCCCCATCCCACCCGTCGCCGGAATCGATCCTGAGTCCACTTGTTATATATTTAGACCGCGGCCCCTGTTCTGCCTCTCAACTGCCTGTCACCATGGAAACTGAGAGCCCAGGTCCCAGATGTGATAGATAGGCCAAGTCCAACTCATCCAGAGAGAACGGGCTCCGGAGAGGGAGGCAGGCATTGGGACTTCAGAAAGCGCTTGTCTAATGGTCCTTATCTGCAATAACGCTGAAAGCTGAATTCCTCACTCTGAATAAACGGTATGTCACGTCAAAGCCTGAGATAGCTGAGGATGGCTCACGTTACAGAGTCCTTCACCTTCTCTCTCTCACTAGGTGATAGAGTCGCGCACTCCCTAAATCATTAAAGCATATTTCACTTGCCGAATTCACTCGCACCTGTAACTACATATCTCAAGCATCTAAGCCTAATTTGAAAATATTAATGCCATCCAGGGTGTCCCCTGACACGTGCCATGCACTTCCCTTCCCAGGATAGGTTCCAAGCTCACTCTAACTCTGTAGTGTATTTCCTTGCTTTTTAAATGCTGTAAACCTGAGCTGTAAATATAAAGAAATGAATCATAATTGTTACTGCAATGCAGAGATTTTTTTTTCTCTCAGATATCACAGTTATAGGTTGAATACTGTTATTGCTATGCAATACTTATGAAAACAATGACTAACACCATCGCCCGCAGTCAAGGGATGAAGTGAAATGTGATGAATCTGTGATTCAGAGGTTTGAGCATCAGAAGACCCCCTCCCCCCCCCATTAAGAAACTTTAAAAAAGTCTTTAGAAGGCCTTTGAAAAGATCCAAAGTTCAGAAATGTGTGAAAGAAGAGGAGAGCCAAAATTCCAAAACACCACTGTGACATCACTTTAACGCATCCTTGTTGAGGGCGGCATGGCAATGCTCACTTGGTGGCAGTGGCTCGTCGACCATGGGGTAGTGGTGAGAATCTGGTCGCAGCGTGGGAAGCTGACTGACAGCAGGGTGGCTGCAAGGGAGGGGACAATTGCCTGCAGGAACAAGAGAAACACGGCGGCAAGTGGTCAGGCGATTCAGGATAGAAAAATACAACATGGCTCACATGACAAGATACAACAGAATATACTCATTTACTACCATGCATTTAGCTATTTGGCTAATGCTTTTATCGAAAGCGTAATTAAGAAAAAAAGCTGACAGCCCCTGTAGCAAATGGGGTTAAGGCTCTTGTTCAAGAGCCCAATGGTAACATCACTCTGCCAACAACAGGATTTGAACCAGCAACCTTCTGGTCACAAGCACAGGATCTCTAACCCATAGGATCACACATGGTGCCGTTTCAGTCCCAACCAGATTAGGTGCAAATAAACAAAGACCAGAAGAGAAATCACCTGTCCAGGATGAATGAATGAATGCTGCATCCTTCCAAAAATTAGTTTAAGGGGACCTTATGCTCATTTACCTCTTAGGCATGAATAAACAAATACCTGAGCAGGACTCACTGTTCCAGAGTGAATGCTGCCAGAATCCGAATACGGTGGTGTGATACATTATGGTTTTAAATCCCCCAAGATAAATCCCCCTCTGGAACCCTGTCAGGATTAACAGTCAGATGAACATTGGGATCGAAACCAGGATCAGACTCTATATCACTATTTGGATCAGAAATTGGAGTGACACTTGGATCAATACTGGGGTCAGCACTCAGGTCAATGTCTGGATCAGGGCCTAGATCTGCACTTGGAGCAAAACTTATTGCAGCTAGATTAGCTCTTGGACTATTGCTTTGATCAGCAGAGGGGATTGCAGGGCTGAGAGGTCCAGTGGGGAGAATACAGCAGTGAGGGAGCTAAAACTACATCCAGCTGGTTAAGATGTAAAAAGGGTTCTTTCATAGCACAGGTGCCAGTGGGCTTCAAGCCCAGCACTTTTTGTCTGACCACCAAACATCTCCATTTACTGGTTCGTGGTTTCAAATACATTATCATGCAACCTGTTTCCAGCGACAACCAGAAGGTTTGGCTTCCTTGCAATGTCCTATAAGTCTCTCAAAAATGCCTTGGATGTGTTAATTAGGAAAGTGTACATGGGAAACGATCTCATCAGCGGAGGAAGCGCTGTTTGCAGGCCCGTGTGCCGGCTGTCATGAAGGAGCTTCTTCAAGCCATTCGTTAGAGACGTAGCCATATTTCGGAATGGGGTGGGCATGGCTGTCTCGAGGGGTGGGCACCCTCCAGACTCTGGCTGCTGCTCGCTTTGCTCCCTAACTCCTGCCGCTGCTCGCTTTGCTCCCTGACTCCTGCCGCTGCTCGCTTTGCTCCCTGACTCCTGCCGCTGCTCGCTTTGCTCCCTGACTCCTGCCGCTGTTCGTTTTGCTCCCTGACTCCTGCCGCTGCTCGCTTTGCTCCCTGACTCCCACTGCTGTTCATTTTGTTCCCTGACTCCTGTCGCTGCTCGCTTTGCTCCCTGACTCCTGCCACTGCTCATTTTGCTCCTTGACTCCTGCCGCTGCTCGCTTTGCTCCCTGACTCCCAAAGCTGTTCGTTTTGCTCCCTGACTCCTGCCACTGCTCATTTTGTTCCCTGACTCCTTTCACTGCTCACTGTGCTCCCTGACTCCTTTCACTGCTTGCTTTACTCCTTGACTCCTGCTGCTGTTCACTTTGTTCCCTGACTCCTGCCATTTTACGCCCTGACAAGCTCAGATTTTCCCCTGCTTCTTCCATGTTGCGTGGCTCTCGGTACTATCAAGCCCCTGAAAACCCCAAACATGAGGGAAACTGCCTTTCCAGCAGACCTGCTCTGTGGAGAGATACACTGGTGTTACTCCTGACATCATGCTGCACATATTTAAGCTCACCTGACTGAATCATTTTCAGTCACTATTTCAGTCACCATTCTCTGTGAAGTTTTCACTGGTTTTCATAAAAAAAAACATCTTCAACTTACTTTTGCAAAAGCAGCACTTATTTTCATGGTGTAAGTTGGCCAATAAGTACTAATGAGGATGTTTGCTGGAGAAGCAGGCTGCATACAATGTGACTTGCAGGAACAGAAGCTGAAACCCCCCCCAGGTCTGTCATCATGACATCCTAACAGGCAGCTCTCCACCATCCATCCATATTTCCTTACTTCCTTACCCCACTTACCACTTACCAGTATCAGTGGTCACCAACTGGCGGACTCTGGCCCTAACCTGGAACAACAGCTCCTTGACATGCGAGAATGATGTGCCAGAAAATTCTCCGTCCCCATCCACAGGGAATTAAAGGCGATGTAAAGCTGTTCCGCTATTCAGGGGCAGTAAAATATCTTGGCAAGAAGAAAAATGCTACTGCCACAACCCCCCCGCCTAAACCCACCCCACTTGGTCAGCAAATGTAAGGACGGGTCCTCCCCACTGCCTAACCATAAATTTCAAAGCCACCCCCACCCCCGTTGGCAAATATTACCATTACCGCCAGCACTAGACCTAACGTGAATTTTACCCGCATCCCTCTGGCATCAGAGGTGGAAAGTTCAGGTACAGAAAGTGTAGATACAGACCAAGGTTTTATTTCAACCAACCAACAGTCAGAGTACTCAACTGGTTGGCTGAAACAAAACCTTGGTCTGGAGTTGTCGTTTCTGGACCTGAACTACCCATCTCTGCCTGGTGTAAAAACACCCATGAGCCAAAACATTCTGACTACCCAATATGACGAGAATGTTGACTATCTTGGACCACTCTGAGTAGGTACTCACCACGGCTGACCACGAGCATCCCACAATCTTTTCCATTTCAGAGAGGCGCTAACCCAGTAGTCTGGCCGTAACAATTTTGCCCTTATCAAAGCTCTTCTGCATCAAACATGCCAGCTGCAAGTGCTGAATGTTAGCTTACCGTCTAATATATCACAGACCTTAATATGCACAATTTTTATAAGACAATCAATGTTATTTGCGTCTCATGGGTGAAGTCATAATGTTTTGACTGGTCTCTGTATATATTCCTTCATATAATTTATCAGGACAAATGGAACAAAGACGTACTGTCCTCTGACCAGATTAAAGTTCATTTAAAACATGAAACCACCCTTTTGAAGTCCATTAGCTTTATATTTCCAATGAAAATTTCCAAAGTGGTCACGAAGATAGCTGGAACGCGACCCTGTTTTTTTTCTTTGATGTACTGGGAAAAAAACACTCAAAACGAACAAACCAACTAAGGAAGTAGCGAGATAAGTGTGGCAATCTGTAGATGCTGCCATGGAGACAGAGCCGAGAGCGGCTGCTGGGGGGTAATAAACTCAGCAATGATCGATTCACCCCCCCCCCCCCAAGTCTTTTACCTGTCTGAACTTAACTTTTTATTTCTGTTCTTTCTTCTATTCATAAGTTTCTATTTTGGTTCAGTTTTACAGTGTATGACTGTGTGCCCTGCTATGGACTGGCATCTGCGTTGTGTCCAGTGCATCCCTGCCACCCTGGGCTGGGTATACTGGCGTCCTGGTAACGCCACTGAGTTGCGAACATCATAAAGAAAAGTGTCACTTAAACTTAAAGAACATTTTCAGGGTGGGAGTCCATCCTTGCAGCTGTACACCAAAGACCTCACTTTAATGCTCGTCTTACCTATTATTTTAACCTATTTTGTTCATTTTAGATTTCATTAACAATAATACATGTAATACACGGTGCAGATATTGGTCGTTTCGTTGAAATGGGTCAGGGAGTTTGAGGATTCAATCAGCGCAAGGTGACAGAAGTCAGTCGCACGTCTGCCGGGAGGAGACCGCCTGCCCGCGAGCTTCTTTACTAATTGCTTCTCTCCAGCGCCACGACAAGAGATGAGGTCCCTGCCCTTCGTGACCCACTTGCAGTGAACAAACAGGGCTTCACAATGTTCTGTCTCCATTTATAAAGCATTTTTTTTGCTTATAAAAACAGACGGGAGAAAAATCATCAGGGCTCTTAATAGAAAATCAGAGGACAGGACAGCAAGATGTGTTTAAATTCTTTGTGCCAGTGATTGTAGTTACCAGAGTGATTTCACCACTGGGCCCTTGAGCAAGACCCCTAACCCACAATTGCTCCAGGAACTGACTGAGCCTGCTCTCCCAATTGTAGGTCACTCTGGGTGAAATCATCTGCTAAATTAACACAAGTATGGATAGTGAGCATGTTCTCTTCCCATTTGTGCTGTGCCTCAGGGTATATTGTTACTAGATTGCCTATAGTGTGTGTGTGTGTGTGGCTTGCAATAGTGGAATTTCTTTGGCTGTGTACCTGTACTCAGCATAATGAAAATAAAGTTTAAACTAAGGTGATCTAACCTAACAGACCAGCACCCAAGACTGGATGTGTTGTTTCTCAGGTCCAATTCAAAAACCCACCTTGGGACACCCCCGTCCCACCAGTGTAGGGACTGTTTGTGGCCAACTGGGGACATGCAAATGAGTGGTACCAGACACGGCTGCAGTCAGCGTCCTATGCAGTGTGTCCCCTGCCTTGTGCCCTGTGCTTCATCATGATTGTTTGCTGGATAAATGGCTAGATCATAGAAGGATGGATATAATATTAACTCAGTGACAAAAAACGTTAAGCACCCAGACGGAGTGGTGTAAATGAATTGAATGTGCATGTGGTGAAAGGTCATGTGACTGTATCGCAATGATCATAATATCAGATGAAATGACCAACAGAGTTGGCAGTATAGGCACACTGTTGGTCCCATGTCAGTAGGGGGCGACACGCAACCAGGCCTGGATACATGCAGCGGTACGGTGTGGAATGGAGTCATACAGCTGTTATATCCTCTCCTGTGGCAAGTCGGACCACAGGTGTTGAAACAGGCCCTCGAGATCCTCCAGATTGACACTGGGTCTGAGTTGACGTCTGAACTGATCCCACACATGTTCAACTGGGGAAAAATCGGGGGACCTGGCTGGTCACGGGATGACCTCAACATGACGCAGGCAGTCCATGGACACGCGTGCTGTGTGTGGAAGGGTGCTGTTTCAGGAGGGGCAAGACATGCGGACGCAGGATGTCACTGACGTACCACTGTGCCGTCTGGGTCCCCTTCATCACTAACAGAGATGACCTGAAGTCATACCCTATGGCTGCCCACACCATGATGTCATACCCTATGGCTGCCCACACCATGATGTCAGGAGTAACACCAGTGTATCTCTCCACAACATTGACAGGATTGGTCCTCTCCCCTCGGCGGCGCGATATGCACACACAACGGCTATCCGTGGTAATGCAGAACCGAGATTCATCCCTGAACATGGTACGATGCCACTGGTCATCAGTCCATGCCTCCCAGTTACGGAACCACTCCAAAAGCAGCCGTCTCTGCGTTATAAATGGGATGGACAACTCGTAGTCTGCTTGATGCCAGGGGTGTTGCAGAGAGTCCCAGGCACATGTCATAGGGATCTGTAATTCTTGGTGCACAATACGACAATCCTCCCTTGGTATGATCTGTCTTGGGCTACCAGAACTTTCACAGTGTGAATGGATGCCCTCACGTGCCCATTGATTGGGTGACTGTGACATCTGCATACCCCACATGCCGGGCAATTGCATGATATGATCACCTGGCCTCCCGCAAACCCGCAGTGCGAACCCCTATCTCCATCAAGTGCTGTCTAATGCGTCTACAAGGCATCCTCTGTGTCTAGATGCACCAGCTCCTTGCAAATCGAATCATTTACATAGCCATCGCTGCTCTGCATGTGTACCAAATTACACCGAAATCGGACCATTACTTCTGGGTTTTGTTCGCTTTTGTTACATGCACACACACAGGCTCACCTTCGGTCTGACTGCTGGGCCCGGCCACTGGGGACTCCCCACTTTCCGTGCTGCTCCTGGGATAGCCATCAGTTGAGCCTAGCTCCCTCCGCCAGCAGGGGGCGCTGTCTCCTAGCCCCCCCGGGCTCTGTGAGTCAGCCACCGACTCGAAAGCGCTGCTCTCATCCTCCTCGTCCTGCGAGGAGAATACGTTGCTCTCAGAGAGGCGGGCGCTGTCCGCCGAGGAGAAGCGCGGATGTCCGCAGGGGTGGCCGCGAACCTCATGGCATGATGGACTGTAGCAGGAGGTGCTGTAGCAGGAGGTGCTGTAGCAGGAGGTGCTGTAGGAGGTGTCACAGAACTCACACTCGCTTTCCCGCAGCAGCCTGGGGGAGGCGCCCTCACCCTCGCTCTCCAGCAGCTCTGACAGCTCCTTGACGGACCGACTCCGGGGGAGTCCCTTTCCGCAGGGTGCCTCCGCAGCATCCGTGGCCTCTGAGCCTCCGTCCTCCTCGTCCCCGTCTGGCCTGAGCGTGGGCTCCTCAGGGCCCAGCTCGCTGCCATCCTCGGGGGCCTCCATGTCGCACTGGGCGGAGGGCAGGCTGTAGAGCAGCCGGTGGATGCGAATGTAGTGGGTGCGTGGCGTCTCTGGTTCCCCACAGGATGAGGCAATCACCGTCTCCAGCTCCGACACTGGGAGTGAGCACGGCCGGCTCTTACGCTTAGGGGTGTCCCGCATGAGGGGGGAGCTCTGCTCCCCGTCCTCGTCCCCCTCGGCCGTGGTCGACTCATCGGCCTCCTGCACCTCGGCTCTCGTGCCCGTGTCCTCAGCCAGGGGGTCTGGGATGACCACTGACCCCTGCTCCGTCGCCCCCACCTCTCCTGACTCCTCTGACTGTCTGGCCGGTTCCTGATCGTCCTCCTCATTCTGTGGAGTGGGTAACACTGGGGCCTCAGCCTCCACATCGCTTCCTCCTTCCTTCTGTGCCTCCTCCGGGGGGGTGTCCTCTGGCTGGTCCTCGTCGGCTGCTGCTGGGGCCACATCCTCCTCAGCGGGCCCCACAGGGCCGACCTCCTCCGGCAGGGTATCCGGAGGTGGAATGGAGGTACCCGCGTCTAAAGTGTTTTCGTAGGTGGGGGGCTCAGGCATCTCGGGGTCCAAGCTCAGTGCGTCACTGGCTGGAGGCTCATCGGCCTCTGCCGGGACCTCCACCTGCTCCTCCGCCCCCTCCTCCACCTGCTCGCCTGAGGGAACCGCACAGTCGGGCTCAGAGCAGACGGACACCTCCTCGTCATCTGCCAGAGAGGAGTACAGTTTACCTAAAGGCACTCAGACACTCAAAGATGATGAACATTTATTAATGTCTGCCACATGCCCATGCAATCCAACATACACTCAGTGACTCATTATCCTAACAAGCCTCTTCATTTTATCATATTCCTATTACCCATTAATTTATTCATGCGTGGTCAACATTCTTCTTTAAGACTATTAAACATGAATATGACTTGAGGACACTGGTTTAATTAATAGCAAAACAGGCATAATTTTTCCAAAACAAAGAACACTGTGTTTCAAGAAACTAAATTTATTGTGAATCCTGTGCTAAAAATGCGAACAGTGTGACATACGATCACTAAAAAAAGCTCTTTCTGCGCTGTTGTTTATCGCTCCAAAACAGCCCTCACTGAAGGTCACTAGGTATGAATATCTTTTACATCTTCCGTAATGTCAGTGTCAGATGCAGCCGCTACTCCAGCTGCACTGCAGAGAACCTTGGGAGAGACTTGGCCCGGATAGTTATGATTGCGCAGAGGATCGTGGGTACCAAGCTCCCTGATCTGAACAATGTTTATGCCAGCCGACTATGTAGGAAGGCTAGCAACATCATCAAGGACCCCACCCACCCGGGTTACAAACTGTTTGCCCCCCTCCCATCGGGCAAAAGATTCAGGACCATCAAGTCACGAACAAAGAGACGGAGAGCAGTAGCCTTCGTCACACTCCTTCCCACTACAGAACACTGACCATTAATCACTTCCACACGTCTGTATTGCTGCTGATATGCACTTGGTCACTTTAATCACATTGACTGTAAATACCTATAATCTGTAAATAATTTAGGAGACTGTAGACTGTGTGCACTGTAGACTGCACTAGCGAATATATTTTTGATATTTTATTTTACTAATAGCTATCTTAGGTTTATTTATATTTATATCACGTCTATGAGACTGTATTTTATGTTAATGTGGTACATTAATGTACGTCTTTGCTGCTGAGCCGTGAGCTACCAAAATTTTTTTGTTGTATTTCTGATATAATGACAATAAAGTCTCTTATCTTATCTTACTGGGTCATGGTTGCTGGTTCTGGGGTCCTACTTAAAAAGGCACTTTGGGGCCTGCTAGTGTAGTGACTGTTTATGGCCAACAGGGGGCCGGCACGAAAATGCCTCTGACCTACAGAGATGCTCAGTAAATCTTCAATTTTTTTTCCCTGTCTAAACCACAATAAGGCTGCACCCCCGACTCCCCGCTATCATCATAAGAACGTGATTGGCTGGAATAAAAATGTTGGAGACCTGGGTGGATGGGGGAGGTCAGCTCGAAGCGGAACTGCAGCTGCCCGCTGACGTGGTCCGTTGGCAGTCTCCGGCTGAGGGTGTAGTTCACCACGCGGTCCCTGGGGGGGGGTGATGGATACAGACAGTCAGCCGTACACACATCTCTCTGACCTTCCCACACTCTCCCTACAGGGCATCCAAACGGTTTAAAAAACAGGGTAAGTGATTAACTGTGATTCTCAGCAGAGATAATTAACATTAACAGGCAAAATGCCACCTTGCAGAGCCTCAGACTGATTAATTACACCTTCTAATTGAAGCTGTGCATGGAGCTCAAACACAGGCCGATATTACAGCATCTAAGCTGATTAGAGCATGAATCCTCAGCCCCGGATCCCCCCCAATGCCTTGAGAGCCCTGTCCCCTGACCCTGCCCAATCGGATCGTCCCCTCCCCCTCTGGGTCAGGCTCTGCCCACTCCATATAACACATGAGCAACCCTAGCCCGCCCACCCCTACACAATGCACCCAGAGCTCCCTCCCGGCTCCAGGCTCCACCCACTCCCACCTAATGCACCCAGTGCCCCCCCCCCCCCCCCTGGCTCCGCCCACTCCCTCCCGATGCACCCAGTCCTCCCCCTACCCCCCCGGCTCTGGCTCCGCCCACTCCCTCCCGATGCACCCAGTGCTCCCCCTACCCCCCCGGCTCTGGCTCCGCCCACTCCCACCCGATGGCGTGCTTCTCCAGCAGCCGCTGCACCGGCACTGACAGCTTGCCCAGGAAGCGCTTGATGATGGGCCGGCTCTTGGCGAACTTGTCCTTCACCTCGATCTCCAGAACGTCCGTAGGCAGGGACACGAAGCTGAAGCGCTGCCGGAGAGGGAGGAGCCAAATGGTCAGCTGACAATGTGGGGACTTTCTGATTCATTTGGTAAATCCCGGTAAGGGGGTAACAGTGTGAGGAAGTGGCCAGCGTGAGAGGCACGGCAGATAAGCTCTCTGCTGGCTGCTACATCCAGCCTACTCCAGCTGCTGTCCACGGTACTGAGACGGCAGACCTGTGGTTACTGCTGTCCAAGGTGCTTAAAGGTCCCCTGTCTGATCTAATGCCTGACCATGGCAGGATGGGCTTTTGGGAAAACAGGGCCGTGGGAATGATGTCACCATGAGACACATGTAAGGTTGAAGGTCTTCAACGCCTAAATAACATCTGTGAAATCTTTAAAGTGAGTAAACACAACTGACAAAACACCTCCAAATCCCCCATCCAGCAATATGGTATGGCCCAGAATAGCACAGCACGTCCCTCTGTCTACTCGTGGGAGGATCCACTAACTTGGGGGGGGGGGGGGGGTGTAGAGAGACAGGTATACCCGCTTGGAATATCCTCCTCCTGTCCTTGTTCTTCCTTTGCCCAATGAAATGCATGAGTGCACAAATAAGACCTGAGTTATTTGTGCTAAAGGACACATGGTAACAATGATGAGAGGTTTATTCGATCAATCATCACTCACTGTCACTTCATGCATAATCCATTTCATCTCCTCCATTGATACATTATTCCCTATAACTAGAAAAGCTGTTGAAAAATGTATAACATTTTCACTGACAGATCCTATAACTACATCTCAAAGGTAACACAACATTATTAATATATATATACCTTTCATATTTAAAATATTACAGGACAAATTTGGAGAAATGGCCAGGGATTCCAGTTTTAGTTTGTGCTGAATATGTAACACAGGACTGAAGAGATGGATGATAAAACAGATCATTGCAAATCAAATCAGACATCAGGCAGCAGCGCAGGGTCACTGTGAGAAATGCAGCCTCTGCTCCGAAAGGTCTCAAAATCCCCAGTCCGGCCCCTCACAGCTGCTGTGACCCTGTCCCTGGCAACGCCGGCCGCATAAATCCAACATTCGCTTGTAGAAACATCGGAGACACGGCGACTTGATAAGCATCATGACAAGGGCCTTCTCAGAGAATGATAAGGCACGGTGCAATCCTCCACGAGACGCACAGTGGGATTAAACACCCAGCATCCCCGTACAGACATGGGAAGAATTAAAATAAATACTCACTGTAAACTGATGTGATGAGATTTCTTTGCTTAAAACAAACTTTTACAGTCCTGTGATTGCATGTTGGCTGAAAACTGGTACTTGAAATAAAAGCATATTAAAATAAAATTAAATACATGCACTATATGGACAAAAGTACTGGGGCACCTGCAGTGTGTGAAATTCCCGTCAATATTCGGGGGGGGGGGTCCCTATCTCGCTATTGTTGCGCAATACAGATCTTGAGACCCCCTTAAAATTTTTCTTTTGAGGCTTTCAGGGGGTCTCATGGGTTAATCGGGGGTGTCGGACCCCGCCGGACCCCCCCCTCGTATTTCACACACTGGACACCTGCCCTACAGGAACCTTTTATGACATTCACTGCAAGCTCAGTCCAGCTGCAGCTATACCTGCCTGACTCCTCGACAGCCTTATGTTCGTAACGTGCTACATGCCTGGCTTGTAGGTCGCTTTGGACAAAAACCTCGGTTAAATTTGAAAAAATGTACACTGCCTTGGGTACTTTAATTATAAACACTTCTGTGGCTCCCCAGCGATTCTAATCTCTGGATCTTTTATGCTAAAAGTACAACAATGACGGGGTGGAGGCACATACATAGAAGACTATAGCCCATGTGCACCATGGAAACGGGCATTGGCATCCGAAACTGGCCAGGAGATTCACTTTATCCACACGCACTCAAACGCTGTTCACGGACAAACGTGATAAAATAGGCCCTTCAACAGACACTTCACATTCCACCTGCTTCTCCCCGGTGCCCGGAGGGAGAGACTTGTGTTAATCTCGACAAACAGAGACCCAGAAAAAGCTTCTCAATATTCCAGTCTCCCTGGACCATGAATATACACTGATGGAGTATGATGCTGGCGTGACCGTAATGAAATGGCTCCCTGGCTCTCCTGGCATTTTACAGTATATCCCTCTCAGTCTTCAGGAAGGAGTCAAAACCCTAACCCAAACTGTGCCACCCCTCATATTCTGAAGCAGGTCCTGAAGCATTCTCAAGCATCACCTCTACATAGTGCGACACAATGCAATATGCGTCTGTATCATATGCACATGCACCCATATCCTGCGCTTGTGTGTGTTGCTCATGTTTGCTTCATGCGCAGCACAAAACATGATGGTGCCTGTGATGGTACGTTGTACTGGTAGCAAATTGATAGTTCCACTTTGCCGGAGGCGCCCCCTGCCCCCATCCACCCCGTGTTTCAGCCCCTGAGATGGAGCCCAAGCTGAGTGTCCTCTCACCCAAGAATTCCTATGTACCTGGATTCCAGTACTTCAGTACTTGTCTTACCAACATGGCTGTGGAGCCAACGACTTGACATAAAGTACAGTAACAGTCTGTTCCCAGCACAGCAGTAAATGTACTGCACCCTCACGTGGACTGAGACTGATGAGATGGTCCTCCTGCCAGGCCAGGCGGGGGGTTGCAGTGACACCCAAACAAGTGACGGCTGAAGGATGCTCTAGGGAGCAGCTGAAAGACCCCCGTCCAGCATACACGCCAAGGCAGACAGAACCTTTAACTGGACTATAAATCCCACACCACTGCAATGTGTGACAATTCCAGGAAATGCTCCTTACTGAATGAGGAAAAGGAATTATGGGAAATGTAGAAGCTAACGTGCCGGCGGGCAGGACAGACTGCCTTACATCATGCCTGGAGGGTTTCAGAGGGACAGCAGTCGCTGGCCGGCCCGGGCCGGAACCCAGGAGGACCGCAGACAAACCTCACCCTCTGCCCTTCTAAGCCCTAAAAACGCCCATTTTTAACCACCATTCATACATTTATTTTCCATTAAAAGATATTTTTCTTCTCTTCACTGCTATATTTTATCTATTTAAATGTCTGCTTCAGCTTTCTCCATAACCCGCAGCTATTTTGAGTTCAGCACCATTACATGGATTAAAATTAAAATATTCATGTTGATCTCTCGTTAAAAGTGCTCTTACTCTAATGGCTGCTGTCCATCACTTACCTGCGTTATTCCCAATAACAGCGACCATGAAGCAGATCCATTATCCAGCCTGAGTTGCACTTCCTATCTCCACTCCGTTTCCTCATGCATATGTTTTATTTACTTAGTAGACACTTTCATCCATGAATTGGCCAAGAAAATAACACACAACATGACAAGAAATTCAGTGGCAGGCCAACTGGGAAATGAAAAATGGCCACAAAGGTGGGCACAGCTGTGGGGGTGGGGGGGGGGGTAGAGTTTAGCGGGACCTCCCCCCAGAAGGAACCCCGCCCCAAGAGAAGTCAGCTGAGGGATCAAACCAGCCTTCTGCAGGTGAGAGAGAGTAGAGAATGTGTTCCTACACCAGAGGCACTCTGGCGCCCTCTACTGATGAATATTTCATAGGTGTCCTGGCAGCAGGAAGGTCAATGTGAAACGGCACGCGCTCCATTAAGTATGTTTCTGTTTCCCGTATGAAATGTATGGATGTGAAAAGCTGAACGGTGTGGGGTGTGGGGCGGGGGAAGCTGCAAATGTTATGCAGAAACTCAAGCGGAACAGAACCCCGGAAAAACTCAACATTTCTAACACGTTTGATGGAACATCCATCAGTTGTGCTGTGAGACAGGAAGGCAGTTTTAAGCAGCAGGATGTGATGTCATAGTACTGCCTAGAGCAGGGGTCACCAACATGGTGCCCGCGGGCACCAGGACGCCCCCAAGGACCACATGAGTCGCCCGCGTTCTAATAATAGCACAACTCACGAGTGACCAGCATCTAAAATTTAATTTTATCCAGTTGCTATTCTTCTTTAATCATGTTTGCATTTATATACATTTGAAAATGACAATATCAATATAAAAAAAAGCATTTTAAACATGTTTATTATACAGAGCAAATTTGTTATTTAAGAAGAGTGTATCAAACTGGTAACCCTTCGTATGGCTCAGCAGCCGTGAAGTAGCTCTCAGTTTCAGAAAGGTTGGTGACCCCTGGCCTCGGCATAACCGGCACAAACAAACTGTTGCTGATCTCTCGTAGCTGCCAGATGTCTAGGTGCCCCAAGTGTGAGAGAGAGAAACATCCAGAACATGAGGGGGAGGGCGTTTTGCAACTGGAAAACTGAGAAAAGAGCTGCTTTCACTCGTGTGAAATACTGACTTTTAGTTTGGATTTCATCTGCTTTCAAGTCCTGGTACTATTGGGGGTTACTTGGCCAAAGTAAATATTGGGGCGTATACGTCCCTCCCAGAATTCCACCCGCAGGAAACGGGAGGGACGAATACCCCCCAATATTTAATTTGGCTTCATTTGTTTCCTCCAAAGATATACCTCTGCATTTGAATTTATTAAGTTGTGTCCCGACCCCCAATATAATCACTCTCCTTGCCCTGGCATCCATATGTACTCCTAAACACTTATCCTGGTCAATGGAATTCCACTAAAATTAATGCTCAATAGCTGTAGAAAACCTCATCATCATCACAACCATTAAAGCCTGGACCATTCAAATATTTCCTATGAATTATAATTACTACTAATATTATGATTCTTGAGAATAAGCCTACTGTTGTTTATATTGATATATGTTATTCATTCAGTTTTATGGCTTACAAACTAAGGCCATAGATCCGATGACGTTTGCTCTTTGCTTGAGGCCAGGTGCTGGGGCCGACTCCAATGATCCTGGGCTGACAATCAAAGGGCGTGTCCACTCTGAGCACCGCCCTGGGGGGCCTCATAGCTCTCTGCACAACCCCGATGGAGGGACCCTGGAGGCGGTGCCAGGATGGTACTCCCTACGACTCTGCGTCACTGTGCCATTACCTGGAGGCGGTTGCCGTGGAGACAGAACTCCCTTCACAACTCCTGCAGCCTGTCTTACTAACTCTGCCTGAGGTCAAAACATTACACTGTAAATGTTTTAAATAGGATTTATTCCAAGAAGCTTGAAATTGCTCACTATTTTACCAGGGCTCATATTATAAAGCCAGAACAGATTAAGACAGGTTAAGACACAACACATCTATCTGTGGGATTCAAACCCACAACCCACTGTCACCCTGTGAGGATACCACCAGGGATAGAAATAAATACTTGCAATTCCTTTCCTTCCTTGGGACATCAACACCATGTCATGAGGAGGTTTACATGACAGAACCCAGGACAGGCTGATTGTGGGGGAGGCAGACAGGCATCGCTTCAGAGTCATCCGTTACATTGTGCACTCCAATGTGTCTCATCCGGTACATGTGTCTCATCCGGTACATTGTGCACTCCAAAGTGTCTCATCCGGTACATTGTGCACTCCAATGTGTCTCATCCGGTACATTGTGCACTCCAATGTGTCTCATCCGGTACATTGTGCACTCCAATGTGTCTCGTTGAAATGCTTCTAGGGTGAATGGACAGTATGAAGAGCCAAAGTGACCTGAGATGGAAGGCAGTAAATGCAGGGCCGGGGGGGGGGCGGGGGTTATCTTATTGAAGTCCTGAGTAATGGAAGCTAGCCAGTTCCCCAGCAAAGGAGGGGGGAGGGGGGATGACAGGAAATAAACCCTCTCTCCATCCACCTCTTCAGGAATAAATTTTGTGATGGGTCTGGCAATCCTGCCGACAGTTCCCCTTGGTAGATTTTGCCCATCAGGGGTGGGGGTGGGGGGGGGTCTTCCTCCATAGATTTCACCGACCAGAGGACTGAAGCAAATTTCGAGGGGGGGTTCAAACATGTCATTTTACTACCTCACTAAGCCCCTGATAGGTAATTTAAAAAAATCTCAGGGAGGGTGTAGGAGTTCAAACCCATTATTTTACTATGTGGCTACGCGACTGTACCCCTTGCCTTCCAGGTGCCCGGAATATTCTTTTGGAAAAACCGGAAGACAAGGAGGAACCATGCAAATACACCAGGATCTGCTTTCTCATATGATGACAAAAACGGGCATGTCCCCAGAAAGTCCCCAGAAAGTCCCCAGAAAGGCTGCCTTAATGGCTGTTATTTATATTACTCATGTCTCTGATCCTTTCTCACTGCCAGTGTAGCCACTGCAAATAATATTTTTACACCAATGAAACTACCTATTTCACCAATGAAAAAACCTGCAGATTACTATTAACTAACAACTAATTCTTCAATCCATGCACCCACCAACTACTTATTCAGTAAAAGGCATAAGGTCATTTCTTTAGCTGGGTATTAATTACAGTATTTATACTGTAGCTTGCTCAATGGTACTTTGGCACAATTCCATATCCTTAACCGGCACAAAGTCTGTATCACATTCTGACGCTGCTTACAGAAAGCTCTATTTTTTGGCGATTAGTCCTCCATCTTTGTTTTCAGAAGTAGAGGAAGGACACTGTCATTCAGATGACAGTCATGTCCTTCTAACAGTCAGTCTGTCCTCTGTCTGAAGCCGATAGGGCTTACGGCCGGTATTGCTTTCCTTCAGGACGGCTGGAATGTGACTAACACTATCCACACAGCCGGGCCCAGGTGTGCAGCCTGGCATCCATACTGGCATCACAGGCCTTGGCATTGCATCAATGAGCCACCCCCCCCCTCCCCCCCACCCCCGTTCCCCAAAGAAGGAGCGATGAGGCATGGAGGAAAGGGCAGACGCTCCAGAGTCAGTCGCCTCTGTCTCGCTGTCATCTCCTCGTTAAACTGCGGGTACCGTCGGGGCACCGGAGATAAATCCAAATGACCGCCTGCTTTGAGGGATTATTACGAGGTGCGATCCTGAGGATAACAGCCAGTAACGACAAAGAGGAGACAGAGGAATCCATCAATTCAGGCACTGAACACGGGACACTTTGTTTCTGCACGCCAATAGACTATTCTCTCACCAACCGGAACAAAGTTAAAAATGAATTCCGATCATATAAGAATCCATTGAAAAACTAATAAAAGCTGGTCCCTATATAGCTGTGTCCTGTTACAAAATAAAGCTACTTAGAATTGCAAGGTAATGCTACACTTCAATTCTAGCCTAACAGAATGCACCTATTTAACATAAACCATAAACATATATAAAAAAATATGTATAGGCATGCATAGGACAGAGTGTAACAATGCTGGAGTAATAGAGGGTGACCTTTGACCTCAGTCCCCCTGAGCTATTTATGAACCTGTGTGCTATAAATGAGGCTGAATTTATTTTACCTTTATGGAACGCTGACTACCTTGTGGGTTTTCTGTCCTGATCCCTCACTCCAGAGGCCCTAATTCTTATGCTGCACCAAATTCCTTATAAAGCTTTAGGCTTTCTCCTTTTATGTGAGACGCCTCGCCGTCAAATACAGATGTACGCGCCAGGCCACTCTCACCATCCAAACACCGGCTGTTCACTATTTTGCAGCGTTTTTGGAAAGTTAATTATTTACGTTCCACACATCCTGGCTTTAGGTCCAGCTGTAAACAACATGAATGTATTATCATCTGTTGCTATGTGATAATGAAGCGGAAGCCACAGCAGCATAATTCTGAGATGTCCCTGTGTGTGGCATTTTGGTGGTGGTGGGGGGGGGGGGTCTGTTTTTCTGGTCGTAAACAACGCACGTGTCATTCTGCGTGTGGTGAAACCATTCGCCCCGAGATTAGGCGGCCCCCTTCTCAATGACAGGTGGCGACGCATCTACTTTTAGTCTTCACAGGAAAAACAACTCTGCCTCCCACGGCAAGCTCAAACTTCTCGGATTCTTCGCTCGCTCTCTGCCCTCGGAGACACCCCCGGGCAATCAGCTCGATGCGAGAACTTCAGCTACCCAACGTGGCATCTTAAGTACCTCGTGTTTGCCGTATGTTTTAAAGTCACCTCTGCGAGATGGTGTCTGGATATGAAAGCTCTACCAAGGGCTTGCACACAATCCAAATCCCAAACTGCATTCCTCGAATGGCAGGTACGATATTTGCACCCCCCAGGCCGCATCATAAATGCAAAACCTCCCATGTGAACAAGCTGGACTTGATTCACCACATTCACCTTCATAAAGACCTTCCTCCTACCACCTTTCCAATGGCCTGCCATCCGTGACTCTGCCGGGAGACCGATGACGCCATCATCCCAGCCTTTTGTCTGCAGACCCCTCCATGCAGCGAGAAGAAAACATCCTGGCTTGCTATGCAAAACCCAGGCACGCTAAAAACTCACGCAACTGTAACGGATATCCATTACTGTGAGTATCACTAGAATGGAGGTCAAGGTAGCATCATATGTCTTAAGTCTACATACAAAGAAACAGAAAGCAATCTTAGGGCTGTAGCAGAAGCAAGAGCAGAACTTGTTGTCTTAACCTTGGTAGCCGAGCTAGTAGTTTTTATGCTGATAGAAACACACCCACTATTACACACTATTTACAACCTCAACTCTGAACTTCTGAGGCTACTCTGCTAGCCACTGAGCCACCATAACAAAGATGATAACAACAATAATTTTACATGCAGGCTTTACAATATGGTACCAATATATAAATTATTAATGTGATATCTAATAACTGATATGTTTAGCATTCAGCTCGGGATTAATACTATAATCCTTTTCAAAACCGACTAAGATGTAAGCTCCCGCATTAATGGACCTGATGTGGGAAATCTGCTGCATACTCCGACTATCTTCGGTTAGCACTCTGCTTACTGAAATCTCAAAGCACTTAGTTCCTAAAGTGTGCATCAAATAGGCCGACACCGACTGAGGGAGGTGGGTGGGGCCACCTGGAGAAGACCCGCCCCTGTATTGATGAGCCAATCACAGACTAGCCACCCGTGACCCAGGCTTCATTCACTGTTTGATTTCCATTTTGTTATCGGCATAAACCTGCTGGGGGTCGAAGAATGGTCGACAGAGTGCGATTTTTCTTTTCTCGTGGATGCCGCACGGCGGCGGGCTCAGTGCCGACCCCATCCGTCACGCATGGAGGCAGCACGCCAGTCTGGAAAACTCCCTGGGATGCGGATTTCATTCAGTGCTCTCTGCTCCCCTGGAAAGGTGTGGGCGTCTCGGCTGATTAAATTTCACTGCAGTGCAGCACAGAAACACTTTGATACAAACGCGGGAGGAACCGGCGAGACCTACAGATGGTTTTACGCGCACGGACAACAGAGACGAGATGATTAAGCAGCAGCTGTGTAATTATTATGCACCGGAACTGTGTATGTGATGCAGGCGACATTCCGATGCAGTGCCAGAGATTAAGCAAAGCACGAATAGCCACAGACAAGTGAACACCCACCTCCCGTTGCCACACGGGGTTGATGGTGTTGCAGGCCACGCCCGACCTCTTCTCCTGGCCGTGATGGGGCAGGGAGGGGAAGATGCTGTGCTTGCCCGGCTGCACAGAGATCTTCAGGTATGGGTCGGGGTTGAAGAACATGCCCTTCTTCAGCCCGACTGCCTGGAGATCTGGACGGGGGACAGAGAGCAGAAGGTCTCAGCATGACCTGATGGTGCATTAGGAGGCAGGGCAGGGCGGGGGAACGCAGACACTGAAAAGACGAGCCATTACATCGTTCTCTAAACTGTTACACTCCACAAATACGAGAGCCATTCCCCCAGCTGAGTACGTTGCCACCCTCCCCAGAAGGAAAAACCAGAAACTGAACTGACAGGGATGTTTTTTTTTACCAAAACAGTGATACTCAACCATAAATACGCAAAAATTGTAAATAAAAAACAGAAACCTGGAAGTAGTACTGTAAGTTAACCGAGGACACATCCATCGTAGTAAATCACAATACAAGTAATATACGAGAACAAGGCTTGGGTGGTATCAAATTTTTCACTCAATCACACCGCCCAAAAATTACACCACGGAAAATGAAACTCTGACGGTATATTCAAAAGCGATGCTATCGTGATATTTAGAAATCTTGCCGATAAAATTTTCTGAAAAGAAAATACCACGATATGCCGTATTACTGTGGTACCTCACAAGCCTCACCCTAACATCTGGAGATGATCTGTAAAAAGGAAATAAAAAATGGGGCTTACATCAAGACCAGAGAAACACTGCTAAGCAGTGGGACAGAAGGGAAAGACAAGTAAGGGTAACTAAGCCATCCTAGGACATAATAAAAAGCAGTCAGATGTCATGCCGCAGTGCAGTGGTGTACAATACAGGCTTCCTGCACCAAAGGACATGACATGTAGCATGAACAGAGAGCTCCGCCACATGTGGCGTTTTGACATGTACTACGACCTCTCTTATAAAAGGCTGCCCCCCCCCCCCCCCCCCCCAGGCATGTAAGAGGCTCACACTCCTCTGCTCTCGTGCCACATGGGCTGAGGGGAGGGTGGATGCTGGAATAGGGGGAAGCAGATCCAATTTCCATGATTATTTACAAAGTATAGGGTCACATTGGGCCTGGAGCCTATCCCAGGAAGCAAAGGACACAAGATCGGGTATCTCACACATAAACTCCTGGCAATTTACACAATTTTTTTACACATTTTATTTATTTAGCAAACGCTTTTATCCAAACGTCATACGTTTTGAGAATGCAGGGTCAGATAATCCCTGGAGTAATTTGGGGTTAGGGTCTTGCTCAGGGTCAACGGTGACATCACTCTGGGATTTGAACTAATAACCACCCCCCATAGTGAAGGGTGAGAAACAGCGGCTGTTCACAGCCCCACAGCAGTGAAAGTGCTACCCAATGAGCCACCGAGGAGCCTTTCCCAAATAAGCAGACCTAGGAAGCCACGAAGAAAGGAGCCCAGCATCTCTGGCATGTCTATTGAAGCTCGGAATTCTAGCAGCTATGGGCCATGGTCTCTGTCTGATGGCACCGAAGCCCGCTCAGAAACGCCCCGGCACGCAGGATCCTGAGCACGCCGGGCAGTCCATCAAACAGCCGAGCAGAGACAGAGTCACTTTCAGCACCGTTTAAAGATTCATGTGAAGGAATACCTTACACTACATTTTGTTTGCAGATAAATGTAAAATTCAGAGAGGCTGCCTTTCATCATAATTCATAATAAGACTTTTTTTCTTGTTTTTGAATTATAAATGAACTGGGAGAGTATTTAACATTAATCACCTGCAGATAAACTTCAGTCTAGATAACATTGGGTTTTTCATCTACTTCCAGGCCTAAGTGCTGTAATAAACTTGTTTTTTTGGCAAATGCTGCACTTCAAAGCACAGAAATCGTGTTCTGGGTTATGATTCCTTCTGTGATATGACACCTTCACATCGTCCAGACCGTGTAACTGATGGTGGGACAGGGAACAGATCAAAAGTTTTCAGGGGGACATATAAATCACTAAGCTGACCACAAATTTTTTTTTATGAAGATGAAGTTGTGAGCAGATTGGGAGAATGGAGCATGGACTTGATTGGTTGATGGTGGTGGTCATGGAGATGATTGGTTGAGGGTGGTTGGTTATGGAGCTGATTGGTGAAGAGGAACCAAAGAAGCTGATTGGTAAATTGTTGCTTACAGGCTGGCATAACAATTGATGATAGGAAAGATGCATCCTCTTAGATTCCCAGGAACTCATCAACTAAAAGAGATGGCAAGGGATTGGTAGGTGAACGCTAGATGGTGAAATCAGGAAAGAAGACACAGGAGTGCTTGTTCGAGAACCTTTGTATGCAGGCTAGGAAGGCCAGACACCCTAAGGCTTGTAAATTCACCACACTGAGACAAGCAACCTTGACTAATCACGAGAAATGGCAGACACATCGCCTGCGGTACAGCCACTCTCCCCTTGTCGCCTTTCCAGTTTCCCTCATTAAATTGCAAACAGAGGTAGCTGAGAGGAAAAAATGATTCAGTTATGCTGCATTTTCAAGGTGGCAACACCATATTGGAATGAGTGTCCCTTCTCTCTGTAAACGCTGGTTGGCAGCCATAAGTGACTATGAACAGGGGTGAACAGGTTTTATGGTGTGGGGCATAAGAGGGGCCAGAATTCATACAGAGGAGCCAACATTATCAATAGCCAATGATATGTTTTGAATCACTGAATGACAGGGGAGGCAGCCAATCAGGTTCCAACTGGGATCAATGCCCTTGTGGCCACACCTCTGTTTATACCCCTGACTATGAATTTGAGAGGCTTTTCCCTTTGCTATAATGATAGTCAAGTGAGAAATGCACAGTATGAGGTTTTAGCAAATGTTTATAACTGAGAAGAGCATCTGAGTGTCCATCAATCCCGTGAGCGTGCGACGAAAATAAGTTGCTCTTTTGACGCAGTATGTGGAAACACCAAGCTTCCATCTGTGGCTGGGGGCGTGAAGTTTGCCAGAGTGCCCCCCCCCCCCCAGGGAGAATACCATGGTAACGATACGACACTGCCTTAGAAACAGAGCACAACAAAAAGCACAACTTAAACCCAAGAAGCAGAGAAAAGCCTGCAGCCGCATTCAATGTTGATGTGACACCGATTAAATCTCCACATCACCTATTGCCATCCTAATGCTTTTCAGATGCCTTTCTGAAGCCATTAGCGTCCATTTCATACGCCTCCAGCAACAGATAACGCTGTATGGGTTTAACCATTCCCTTAAATTAATAGCTGTAAACTTAGTAGGAAACATTTTCATGGCATAATCTTAAAGTCAAAAATTATTTTTATATAGGTCTCTCATCACTGATTCACCGATGCAAACTGGGAGCTACAAAAAAACAAAATAGATAGTTCCAGAACGATGGATGATGAAATAAACTGCATAACAAATAAAAATGGGCAGATCTTGCTTTTTTTGCCTTGAAAAGACCAAAGTAAATCATCACTGCTCATTCCTTTTCATCTCCTTGACCTACATCGTCTCAGAAACGTAGCATACGCACAGAAACTATACAAACAGCAGTAAGCACAGGGCAACCATAGACACAGAACAGCCTGTAAGGCAACGGTCTCAAAATATCAGCCTTGGGCTTGGTCCGGCCCATGACCTGTTTTGTAATCATTAAAAAAATCCTGCCTGGCAATCAATCGTTTTCCTGAGAAAAAAAATAAAAATCATTCGGCTATTTTATAGTAATTTGCAATTTGCAAATACGATGAGACTCCCAGGTGACTAATTGTACAATCCCCCAGGGCTGGACTGGCCATCTGGCATACCGGGCAATTTCCTGGTGGGCTGATGTGAGGGCGGTCAAAATTCCAACCCCCCCCCACCCCCTATCAGTTGGCGAAATATATCGCTCGGCAAAAGTAATCATGCAAGAACCCTAACTGCTTAGCCAGATTTACCATGGGGCTGCAGAGGACCCCAAAGTCCAGCCCTGGCACCCCCCCTTTACCGACCTCAGCACTGCCCCCCTGGTTTCAATGGCTAGAAAATCCCCTAACGCAGGAGAGGACAATTTATTGGGATAACCTTTAACTCAGCTGTTCAAACCCAGGTGTGAGGACTCTTCAGCCAATCAGTCCTCTAATTAGAAATCCAATAAGGGAGTTACAGAAAAAACCTGAATAAGACTGCCCACCCCTGCCCTAGGGCTTGCCCCCCCCCCAGTTACTTAAGTTCCACACCTCTGCTCTGAGGAATAGCTTTGTAGCGGCACAACCTGGAACCTCACGGAGGCCCTTGATGGACACCCCGACGGAAGTGTGAAGAATCAGGCGGGATGGGTGCTCACCTGACAGGGAGAAGCTGATGAGTCTGCGGCTGCCGCGGTTGGACGGGACGTCCCCACTGGTGACAGGCTTCAGCACCTGCGTGGGCCGTAAAGGGCATGATGAGGCAGGAGGGGAGAGAGAGACTAAAGGAGACACTGACGGACCAATCAGCCGCATCCACTCTGCTCCGCCCCCCACATCCTGTGACAGGCTACTTATGAAACCCATTATCTTCGTCAAACGCTGCACCTTGGGGCCTTGGCTAACGGCCCGATCCATGGGGCTCATTATCGATAGGTTGTCCAGGAATGGGCTAAGAGGGCGAGGTCTTCCCAGAGGATGGATACCGTTTCTGATCCATCGTGAGCAGGCTGACCTGGAAAACGTTCAGTTTGTACGCCACCCAGTTCTGTAGTCTGACCCCAAAGGAAGGGCAGCACAACTAAACTATGTTGCAGCTCCACCTTTGCCTTCTCTTCTGAATGTTCAACACAGATATTCCTGCAGGGGATTCTGCATCCAAGAGGGAGTGGGTGACTGAGCCAGGCCTGGCCCAAGGCATAAGCGAACTATGAGGCTGCTAAGGGCCCAGCAGCCACTAGGGGGCACCCCATCTGGTCACCCTGTCAGAATGGGAAGGAAGATGACAAATGATAAGTAGGTTATTCAAATTTTGATTAGGGCCCCAAAAAGGGCGGGGTTGGCCCTGGACAGAACACTCTCAATTCAGCACTCTCACTGCATCCCTGTACCTTTAAGACCTGGTGGGTGGGCAAACTGAACTATCTCCACTTTTGAAACAACTTCCTGATTAAATGCAGGGGCCAAAACACAGTGTATCCAAAGGACCCAGCACACGTGCATACTGTGCGTAATGTTCCTGCAAACCGCAGAGATACAAATGCTTCTGTGATTTCCTTTGACAACATTAATTTATGCGTTTTAAGAAAGAAATAAATAAATGAAAATAAATACATTTTAAAGTGATGTGCGTTCAGGGAAGAGCTGTTATTTACCAGATAATAATATGGTATTATTATCAGCTAATTTTCACATAACTAGAGACCACTTCAAATTTAATTCTGCAAGGGTGGTCCACGCAGAACACAGGTTTCTTAACCCAGGAGTGACAAGAACACAGACAATGAAGCATTACACTCCTTAAGGTGGTCCTTAAGGTGGTCCTTAAGGTGGCGCCTGGCATGATTTATCAAGGAGGATGACCTTTCAGTAACAGCCTGGTCCTCTTCAACAACGGCGGCATTTATGCAACATAGTGGCACAATTTTCTCCTTGCATAATCCAATTTACAGATGGACTCATTTACACATTGCTTTTCCATCTCTCCATTTAATTTACATTTTTAATTTGACGGATTATGGCTATTTAGGAAAAAAAAAGGCATTTCTCACAAAAATGTCCCTCCCCCATACACAACACCCCCTAAATAACACAGAAGTAAAATCAAACAGGTATAATTAAGTGATCAGACTGATCTGAATAACACTGGAGGTGTCATGGCCCTAGTTCATTACTTATGATCCACTCAACAGAGGAGGAACCTATTGGATAAAGTGGAAAAACGGAGCCCTTGTGGAGTGTACCATTCCTGTTTGGGGGGGGGGGGAACACAAGACAATGTCCATACACCAAGCTCTGAAGCAGAACAGTGCAGATTCCACACTGATCTAAAAGTCATGTGGCGAGACTGGAGACGGCCAGACAGGGGCCTTGAACACACACACATTAAAAGACACACATAGAATCGCAATCTGTGCTTATATATAATACTGTTACTCACTTTCCTGATGCATTTCATTATGGTAATTCATTACAATTTATTCATTTATTATACTATATTTATTTTGTCGGGTGTGAAATATTTAATTTCTCCCTGGGATCAATAAAGTTTCTTTTATCTTTATCTGATTAGTAATATTTCACAATATTTCTCAACGAAATTCAATAAAAAGAAGCGATAAATAAAAACAAAGCAGCTCTTTCCCATCGGGAGCATCTCAGGCCGTCGTTCAGTAGAGGAAGCCCTAGGAAGACAGGGAAGCTGGAGGATGTGGGAGTTTCCCTCCTAACCTGGCTAGACAGAATCAGTCAAAGACGCTCCTGTGCACTCAGGGCCAAGATACCCCTGTTGACAAGCAATATGCGTGTTAACGATTCAACACAGATAGGCAATTAATGGGAGTTCTTAGCGCTTGTGTGTCTTTGATAGCTATGTGACATTCCGATAAAACATTAGAATAATTATTTGAGTGACAAAAAAAACAGATCGATTCAAAAATCTGGTCAAAGTGCCTCTGATGTGATTACATCAGTTCAAAACAATTCAAATTTAGAAGGAAAATGGCCAAAAACTGACAGAGCTGTCATGAATTTATGCAGTGTTGGTACTATTACTGCATATTTTAGGGAATATCTTTTCATGTTAAGATGTTCTGACTGACTTCAGTTACCTACAGTCTCAGATGGTTCCTTCTAAAATAGGGTAGTTCAGAACATGTTAAATCTATAATTTATACAATCAGATCTGAACTGAATGATATTTTCATCAGATCGTATAGAATGACTGTTGAATCGATGCATGTCTGTTCCTTATGTTTAGCTGTATTTTTTATGCCGTATCGTAATCCAAGTATCTGGATGCATATCTTATTGTCTGGGAGGAAGAGAAACACCCGAAAAGGTGAAACTGTATAAAACCATTGCTCTATGATAACACAATATAAAACCAACAAAGGTATTTGAAATTCTACCTTAAGATTTAACAAATTGGCTTCGAGCTCAGGCAGTGCAAGCACAAATATACTATAAATACAGAAAAACACCCGGAGCTAAGGATTTACCCTAAGGCTTGTCTATTACACAGGGGACATGGAACCTAATATCAGAATCCAAATACCCCCCCCCCCCTCACCCCCACCACCACCCCCCTGGCCCGATTCTCATGGTACGTTCCATTTGTTCTAATTCACACTCATTCCCCTGATGTTAGCATGTTAGGCCACACTTACGTTCATTTATTTGGTTGTTTGTTGTGGGCTCTCAGGAATATCATAGTAGTGATCACCTCAGACTAGAAGCACTAAGCATCTATAGAGGGGAGCACGACGTTAAGTTCTTGAATCGCAAAAGTTCTTGTCGTGTAGTTCTTACTGATTAACATCTCGTTTATACCAGCTTTACCTACTTGTAGTTATAGAGTTGACAAAACAGGCTCACATGTACACTGCCAGATATGACTCCTATAAATGTCCAACCATGCGTGTTATCTGAAATACAGCCACTTCAGAGTAAAAGAATGTCTTAACTTGGTCAGAGTCAATGGGGTGGAGCCTGTTCTAGGCAGTCTGGGGCGCAGTCCAGTTCATAATGGGGTGCGTGCACACACACACACACACACACACACACAGTGGGCTGTTCAGCAGTGGGAGGAAGTGAGAGAACCCACATTATACAAGGAGAACATGTAAATTCCCCAAACTCAGAGCAGAGTAAGGATTCAAACCCACAACCCCAGAGGTGTGAGGCAACAAAGCTACCCATTAAGCCACCATGCCACCAAATCATGGTAAAATTTAAGAGCAAAATTAAATACTTAGACAAACAAAATGTCTAAACCTCTGTGCTGAAATTACAAATTGAATGTTTGTGTCACGTTCACCGTTGAAAAGCAACAGCAACTCAAACCGCTGACACATCTCCTATATTGGCTGACTGAGACACAGCAGGGGTAGCCAATCAGAGCTGACCCCTGGAAACACATGTTAGTCAGCTACTAGAGGTAAACAGCCAGTCTTGAGCAGTTAGAGACAAGAGCCTTAGGTATCCGCTTAAGAGTGACATTAATAGGCCAAAAGAAGGTGGTCTCTGTTTGTTGAACTTGAATCCCAATTGGGACTGAGCCAGGTGGACGGGGCAAAAAGCACATCACTGTCAATATGGCCCTGACATTCCTCCCAGGGGCAATCTGATACTACAAAACTACACACCAGTCATTTCCAGACTTTATTCTCCACAGTAGGCCTCCACTCTTATGTTCTGAACTGAAAGAAGAAGAGGCAATTCACAGCTCATTTACTTTAAGCCTAGAATAAGCTGATTAGGAGCAATGAGATCATACAGCAAGGTAACCCTGACCCAGAGGAACTCTCCCACTAGGATCCACATTTTCGACCAGGGGGAAACTGGCTGAAACCTAAAAAACCTACAAAAAATACACCTCCCAAAACCAAGTACCTAAAAACAAGGAGCAATTCACTTAGACAGAAAAAGTAAATCTTTCACCAGCAAAGTTTAAACTCCAAAATTCTGGGAATCATGCTGGCTAGCTGCAGATAGCTGGGATCACCAATCAATAGCCTTCGTCTGCAAGTCACCTCAGAAAAGGCCCATAAAAGGTTCAGGACCATATATGAGGAACTTCCTCCCACTGACTAATGTCATAATCAATGCACTTAGCAAACACTTTAGTTAAATGGAATTTTACACTTAAATATAATAGTACAGTGTTACAAAGTTGGGGCTTGAACAAAAAATGAAAGGAATTCTCTCATTACAAGCCAAGGTCCTTGCGTATTACCCAACCAAAATGTGTTTTAAGTAAAGCACTCGGCTACCAACAAAAAATTTTCCCCTTTCATCTCAACATTAGACAGTTTTAACAGGTGTATTCCACTGAATGCACAGTTCATTCTCAATAATATGAAACAGTGATGACAGTTCTGCCTTTGGCTTCCAGAAAGTTATGTCCGGGGGGGGGGGGGGGGGGGGGGGGGCGGTGATACTCACCGGCGTGGCTACGTTCTTCACCGTCACACTGGGTGTGGTCGCTCTCAGTGCTCCGCTAACCCCGTGGTAGTACTTAAAGCAGATCTTCGTTTCCGCTGGCAGGAGAAACGTGCATGAGAAAGAAGAATCAGATTTAGCCAGAGGTGTCTGATTCTCTTCCAAGATGTGACACAACATTCTCAATGACAAAGGCGCAACAGCACAGAAAAGGACTGGAGTGCAATTTCCCAGGAGAGGCCAGTTGTCTTGGGTGCTCTATAGTCCTTGCTTTGGGAGAACTACTATTAACTAGTAAGTTCAAGTCCTACAGGTTATGAAAGGAAGAACATTCCAAAATTTCCCCCTGGGATCAATAATGTCCATCTTAATCTTAAACTTAAAACAGAGAACCAATGCAAAGGGGTGGAAAAAGTCATAAACGGTCTCCCAGCATCCTCTATAGTGCTTTAAATGGACAAAGTCTGTGCTTGGAGAGCATTGTCCCTATAGGCTGGAAGAGGGAGTTTTAACAGTAGGACACATTATACCCAGGGGTGCTAGACAGAATTATAGTCAATGGGAGGAGGACACACAAAGATGTGCACTAATATGTAACACATATACTGTACCTGAATAAAGTGTGGTGACTGACTTTTACTGGGCCATTGGGCAGTGGACAATTACAGAGGGCAGTGTTGTAAGCTAACATCTCTAGGGCTGCAGGGCTCAATGCTTTCTCCTACCCTCTCTTGGGTTCTCCTTTTAGTGACCAAAGACCGGTGATTTAGGGATGAAGGCAGCTCTCTGTGGTTCTGTATGTGTGCCCTCCTTTCTGGGGTGTCCCCTGTCCTGTCCCCTGCATTTCCTCATCCATGCTCAAAGCTTGCCTCGAGCTTGTATTGAAAAAGTCATTACAGAAAATGGAGGGATAAATTTTTCTTTAAAGAAACCACTGACCAATAAAAAATACTCATTACTTTGTATTGCTCCAGCTGGCGAATGCTAACCTCTGCAGTGGATGTGAAAAATAAAGCCAGCTTCCGGATCACAGAAATGAATATCCGTATCCTGAATAGATCCTGTTGATAGGGATGTGGGTGTTTTTGGTACAGAATTCTAGTGTGAACTCCATATGCTAAATAAAACCCATGAAATTGCAAAAATAGACATGTAACCGTTCTGGGGAGGCTGAAGGAAGCTGCGATCCTGACTGCTCCAGTTTCTCCGTCTCTCAGAATAACCCAAAGCCGGCACACTGTCACATTACAAACGGGGACCCGTCTGAGAGAAATGCCATTGTCCTCCCCAGACAGCTCACTTACGCACGTAACTCCCGGAGACATGTTCCATGCAAACAGCTTCGACCAAGTTTAATGATTTATTCAGAGTGTACCGTAAACTCTGCTATTGCATTCGACACACGGGCATCTCTGAATCACCTGTAATGTGGCTGTGTGTGCCCTGTGACAGACTGGCATTCTCTCTAAGATATATCCCTGTCTTGTGCCCTACGGTGCCTGGAATAGGCTTCAAACCTCCAGGGAATAACCACATAAGAGATGGGTGGATGAACAGTATTATTTATTTCAATATTAGCTGAAGACACTCTAGATTCCCAGCAATTTACAAAGTTTAGGTAAACTAGAGATCCTGAGGGTCAGGTTAATTTAATTTGTTAATCAGATTTGCCACGATACTTACACAAATATATATTTAAGCTCTCGTTGGAAAATGTGACCAAAAAAACAGGGACAATTCAGATCCTTCTAGTACATTTTCAAGGCTGAGGCTCTGTTAGAATTTTACCCTACCCAGCATGCTTTGGGGTTTCCATGGATCGAAAGCAAGGAGACTTTTGGGGGAATCTGTTGTTAGGTCTGAGCTTATTCATTTCGCATCACATCTAGAGAAACAAGGAATGATTTTAAACAGGATATAACTAAAATATTAAAGTCTGAGAAGCTTTTACAGCTTCTGACAGTCACCTATACCAGCAGCCTGGTGAGCTGGGATCACAGGTAGTATTTCTGAGCACCGCACACTGAAATTTGGGCAATGTTTCTCATTCTATCGCCATGCTGATTCACATGGTGAGGCTGAACTAATTTCAGGCTATTTCAGACACACAGGACACATACCAGCACACATTGAAGTGTAAATGAAAACTTACTCGTGTCACATATATTTGAAATGACTTTGTGAAACAAAATATCCATCCATCCATCTTCTATACCTGCTTCTCATACATAGGGTTACAGGGGTCTTCACCCAATTCAATAAGCCACAGGCACAAAGCAGTTAATAATCGAGCATGGGGCACCAACCCATTGCTAGGGAGATACACCGTTCATACATATAAAATAGTAATTAAAAAACATATCAAATAAATACATTTAAATAACTGAACATTAACAAACCAAAGATCACATTCCAGGAAACATAAATTTAAAGTCACAGATAATATTTGATCCATCAACCCAATTTCCACTGCAGCAGAACCGCTCGTGGTGAGTCTGGAGCCTGTACCAGGCGGCACAGGGCACACCCAGGATGGGATGTCAGTCCAGTGCAGGGCACACCCAGGATGGGATGCCAGGCAGCTTAGGGCATGCCCAGGATGGGATGTCAGGCGGCACAGGGCACACCCGGGATGGGATGCCAGGCAGCTTAGGGCACGCCCAGGATGGGATGCCAGGCAGCTTAGGGCACACCCAGGATGGGATGCCAGGCAGCTTAGGGCACACCCAGGATGGGATGCCAGGCAGCTTAGGGNCTTAGGGCACACCCAGGATGGGATGCCAGGCAGCTTAGGGCACACCCAGGATGGGATGCCAGGCAGCTTAGGGCACACCCAGGATGGGATGCCAGTCCAGTGCAGGGCACACCCAGGATGGGATGCCAGTCCAGTGCAGGGCACACCCAGGATGGGATGCCAGTCCAGTGCAGGGCACACCTGGGATGGGATGCCAGTCCAGTGCAGGGCACACCTGGGATGAGGTGCTAGGCAGCATACGGCACACTCGGGATGGGATGTCAGTCCAGTGCAGGGCACACCTGGGATGGGATGCCAGGCAGTATAGGGTACGGCCAGGATGGGATGCCAGGCAGCATAGGGCACACCCTGATAGGATGCCAGGCCAATGCAAGGCACGCCGTCACACATCACGATCAGCTTAGAGATCAATTCACTTAACCTCATGTTTTTGGAAGGTGGATGGAGGTCAGAGGATCCATAGGGAACCCGCAGAACCTCAAGTCACGTTTGCTGGTCAGGGTCATGGGGACTCCAGTAGCTAATGGCAGGCAGCACATTACACAGAGCACAGACACAGGGTATAGCCTGCATGGGGTGCCAGTCCATCACAGGGCACTCACTCAGCACAATCACACACTACATCCGTCTTTGGACTGCACAGGAAATCTGCATGAAGATTGAGAACTTCAAACATCATCAACCCTGGAAATGTAAGGTCACCAGGCTGCCCAGAAAGCCACTGCACCCTCTCATGGAAATATTCTAGAATATAAACACACAGCACACCCTTGTGCAAAATAATTGAAACAAGTTGTCACACACACATGCATGCAATGGCCGGGGATCTGCTAGTCTGCACAGCCAACGGGCAGAGACTGTGCCGGATCGGCTCCCCATCCTGGCTTATTCCCATACATTTTTTATCAATCCACCAGGTCCTAAATCCAGACCCAAGGTGATAAATATGAATTAATACTCTTAGCTTCTTAACTGCGTTCAGTCTGTCTGCAACTTGTTTTAATTAATTTGCACAAGGGCGTACTTCATATTTAAATATGGCTGAAAGGTGGCTAGGTATCATCGATGCTAGAACCAGACAGATCTGTGTTTAGGTGAAAACACAGAACAAAGGAGTGGAGGACACTAGACTGACTGTCAGTTTCATTAGATTCAGCCTGAAGGCTGTTTTTATAGCGCTCTCCTTTGAGTATTTCACCCTCACTTTGCGCTGTAAAGCACAGAAAGCAGCCAAGAGATGGCATGTTAACAATCCAGAACCATGCAGCACCGGGGATTTCACACAAGCTGTGACGTGACCACTTACGCTCTGCGAAGTAGGAGCAGGAATCGATCCTCCACACGATCTGGCCCCTGTGGGAGCCGTTCACCCCGCGGTTCTTGTAGTCCAGAAAGTTCTCTGACAGAACCTCATCTGGAAAGCGGGACACACACACACACACACTGACTCAAAGCCCCCATCTGTCTGCCTTGTGCTTTTAATTGTCTATTTTTGTTTCTCCATTTGAGGAGACACTCAATACATTAAAGCCTGGCGATAAAAAGGGAATACAGTCCGTGGCTAATATGAAAAATAAACTCAGAGGCACTAATGCTGCAGACGCCTCCGAAATACACCCAGGTCTTCTGCAGAACGGCTGTCATGCTGAGGCCCAGATAAGTAACGACTCGAAGATGCCGAACATCAAGGAAGCTCCTTCTCACCCCGGACTATTACCACTGCTGCTGGAGTGCGGCGTTACCACCGGGAAGGATGCTCATTAGCTACAAACGGTTCACACAGAAACAGCGGGGATGGACTCAAAGCTGAATCTGCGGTGGGGAAAGGGCTCCAACGAATCATACGATATGAGCCAGACAGAGGTACACTAATGAGGAAAACTGCACTGACCTTAATCTGTTTGAGAACAGCCAAATAGATTAAAGATGGGGAGGTTTACTATAATGTATGCACTGTAGTTTTTTTCATGCCTTTTCTGTGGCATCTTCAGGGGCGGATTAACTTATCTGAGGTTCCTAGGTTCCTCAGCACAGGTGTTGGCGATTTCAAGATTCAAGAATTTATTGTCATATGCTCGTGGGAGTTGTACTTACACAGAAATGTTTACAGGGCAGAAGGAAAAATGATTGGTTGAGAGAGATAGAGGTAGGTCCAAGCGACTAGAGGAAGCAGGACCAACCAATCCAATGTCTTGGCCCTGCCTCCTCTAGTTGCTTAAATCTGCCTCCTCTACAATCTGACTGGTTATCTCTCTGAACCAATCATTTTTCTTTTTTCCCTCAGTACAGTTTTGTGTAAGGAAAACTCCCACGTATGTCGTGTACAGAGTAAACAGGCAGTTCTAGTATGCAAAGAAAATCTTGCTCTTCTTGTCCTTCTGGCTACCGGTAAATACAAATTAACCAAAAAAACAGAGATCTCAAGTACAAATTAAGGTATTTTTAGTAAGCTAACAAATGCACTTACGATAATGACAATAAGTATATAGCCAGTATTTAAATAACCGATCCATTTTTCATACTGGTTTTGCCACGGCCCTAGAGTACAGCCTAAGCCTGCGCATTAATCCACCCCCAGGGGTCTTACTTTTCAAGTGAATCTGCTGCAAAGCCGGCCATGATCTGCTGGCTTACCGATGAGGTACATGCCAATCCAGTCGCCTGCATCCACCTCCTCCTTGATGTCCCAGCAGAGCACGATGTCCTGCGATTGGCCGATGGTGCAGACGGAGCTGCTGACCGTGAGGGTGGAGCGGCTGTCGCAGGTCACCAGGTCGGCGTCGCTGGTGGAGCGCGGCAGGGCGGCCCCGCCGCCGTGGGCCTCGCCGTTGTGGTACTGCTCGGCGTTGTAGCTGTACCGCGCCGGCTCCTTGCAGCGCCGCCGGTTCTGGGAGCCCCGCGTGGGCGACGCCATAGCCGCCAGACCCAGGAACCTGTTCTGGTACAAGTTCTGGGAGAGACCACGGGGAAGGCATCGCAGGTCAGGCAAAATGGAATCAGGGGTGCCGTAAAGCGCTGGGGGGGTTAGGATGATTCCACGGTGATTCTTGAGTGACAGGGCCCTAAAAAATTTGGAACATGATTGGACTGGTCTGAGTTGGGGGCCCAAAATGATAAGCTGTCATGGGACCAGTGTTCACATGTCATGCTACTCATGGTCTAACTATGAAATAATGAATGATGCAGCCCAGGAGACACACATAACTGTCCTGTTTAATGAATACATTCTGTATAATGGGTAACCAGACATCTAACACTAGGCATAATGTTATAATATAATGTAACATAAAACAGTCAGAGACAATAAGACAGGAAAGATATGATATGTTAGCTGAGCATGTGTCACTCGGCGCCCGGGCAGCTCTAGGAGTTTACATTCGGTTACATTCTAAGGGCTCCGAAAGGGTTACAAACCATCCTAGCTGTCCATCATGTGGGTTCTCATTCAGCATAGCCTGACAAAGACTAAGCCAGGCACCCAGCAGCTTGGAAGAGCGCCAGATTGCGGCAGATGCTGATGGGGTGGGGGGGGGGGGGGCGGGGGTGTTCCTGTACGGCACATGCTCTTATAAACTTCAGACAGCCATATAAATTCATGACACATGGCCGAGAGGGTGACGGGTTTTGCTACGAGGCCTCCAGCACTGGCGGAATCCACAAAATGAGAATGCAAATGAAGGGAACGACACGGCTACGACACGGCGGCAAAGAGATACGGGGGAGATATTTCCTCATTTCTCGCTTTGTTATTCTCTCATCCTGCACACAGAGAGGCAGGAGAAAGTATCACATGATCCTCAGGACGAATTTAGTCTTCCCCCAGAAACTTTGATTAGCACAGTGCAATAAACCCAGATAAATATCTATCCCGCCTGTGTTTGGATTTGTTTACTGGCGCTTGTTAAGCTCCATGACCCCCACTGTGCCTATCCCACCTGCTTCCACTCAACAAGGGCAACCAGCTGCCATAATTGAAGCCGACAGGAACAACACATTATAAAATAAATCAATATTCTCTGTAAATGTAAGATATCATAATAATACAACGTCAAGCATAGAGGCAAGAGAGGAAAGGTATGAAATGCTTAGCTAAGCATGTGTCAGTAGATGCAGGGGCAGTTCTATGTGTGGGGGGGAATAAGAGAGACCATAATTCATAGAGAGGGGCCAACCTTGTCATAGCCAATGATATAGTTTGAATTGGTGAGTGACAGGGAGGGGGCACTCTAGGGACCAATCGGCTTTCAGCTGGGGGCTGAGCATCTGAGGCCCTGCCCCTGTAAAAATGAGTGCCATTAGTTTCATCTGAAGTGCTTCATAAGATCTGTATTTCAGTAAACTAAACATTTTTATAAATGAAATGTGTAAAAATGCTACTTTTCAGGAAACATTAAACTTGCGTAGTATCTGTCTTCAAGCTACTTATTTGCGTCAGGGACACAGGGGAGCCTGGGACCTATTTCGGGCAGCATAGGACAGAAGGCTGGGGTACAAGCCAGTCCCTCACAAGTCTCACCCCAGCATACACTATGGGAAATTCAGAGACATGCCTTGGGACACCTGCACGACATGGGGAGAACATGCAAATGGCAGACATGTGGAGGGGCGGGGCAACAGTGCAACTCGTGCATTATAAGTCATCCAGATGAGTGATGAGTTGGCCCAGAACAAACTCTTCGAGTCTTCCGGAAAGGTTTTGTGAGTTTTGGTGCTCTCAGGTATCAGGGCCGCATACCCAGTTCCTGGATCTATAAGCATCTGCTCCAAGGTCATCGCAAAGAACACAGTAACTGGCTGAGCCTCCAGTTGCTAGCATTACACTATGAAAGGGGGGACGACAACATTTTGGAGATTTAGTGCATACTTCCTCTTGCAGCTGGGACCCATCTCCTTGTAAATGTGTCCGGTTTAAGCCTGCAGGCCCCTCTACCCATCTATCCTGAGCAGAATTCATCCAAACTCCATTAAAAAATCCACCCAGAATCAGCGATTCACATGTGATGTGTGGGCAAAGGTTTATGGATAAATATTAAAACATTCAAGAAGCATATTCTGCCCAAGAACACATGAATTGTTCAAGGTCAAAGCAAATGCTTTCAGTGTTACTTGAAGGATTTTTGGGTTCCCAATAGAAGGGAAAACACAATCTTCTCTCCTTTGAGGTCTGAGAACTCTTCCAGCAAGCAAATCACTGTATCTGATTTTGAGCTGTGCTTACATAGTCCTGTATTGCTTATATTGTTCACAGCATAAACATAGTAATCCATCTATTTTGCCATTTCCTATGAGAAATGTTCCAGTAAGCAAGTCCCATAGTGTTACTGTCTGAACCAGCAACCTGGCATACTGTCCTAATGTCAGCTAAACCAACTGGACAAAGAAACAACGGAGGGGACAAGCTCCTAATGAGTTACTTTACATTACTTTCCATACCATGGTTGGTTTCAGAAAGTAATGTGGACATTGTGCCAATTTGTGGATGGAGGAGCATTTATAGGAAGCTTTCATTTGTGGGTAAATCTATACGTCATATAAATGAAAGGAAAAAGCAGCACCTAAAAGGCTTTCAAGGACACCCCATCCAGGGTGCCCTATTCCATTGTTCTCTGTGTTTCCCGGGATTGGCTGCAGGCACAACGCGACACGGCACTCATGGAAGATGGATGGATGGATGGATGGTTTCAAATGCATCATAATTGACATCGCCATGCACCAACAGAGACCACATCTATATATAATATTATAGATATTATAGGTTTCAAACCTGAGTGTTTGTGTAGTAACAGACCTACCTGGGCGAACCTGGAAAGCTCCTTGAAGTCCTGACAGCTTAATATCAGCCTCTCCATAGATGCACTATTTGTTTTATTAGTAGAAGAGCCTACTGGAGTTTAGCGAAGTGATTGACATCTTGTGATGTCATACTGTGTTTTTTTCATAAAGTCACTCAGAATAAACTTCTTCCTTTTCAAGGCAAACAGTCAGGGAGGTGTCCTGTCAACCTCTCATCATTTTTTTACTGCTGAAAAGCTTGGGCCATATTTATAAATATATTTGAAAAATTCATGAAGGACCAAAAAAAAAACATAAACCATCTGTCCATCCATCAATCCATCTCTTTTTCTCCAATGTGCTTTTCTCATTGAATTTCACAGTAAATACAAACCATCCATCCATCTTCCACAACCGCTTATCTGCTACAGTAGGGGCAGCCAACCCCCAGTCTACAGACTAGTACCAGTCTGCAGACCAGAATCAATTGGGGTAGAGTTGCCTCCTGTCCTGTATATTATGGGATTGTATGGTACTGAAAAATAAAATGCCCTGTCCCATGTGTAGCCACGGAAATAGGAGATCTTTCCCACATTCCCATGTATATTGCGTTGCCCCCCCTTGGTAAATTTTACCAGCTCTCGTTTTACCAGCTCATGAAATTTTTTGTATGACATAAACCGCAGACATCAAAAGGTTGGGAATCCTTACATCACACGACGACTGTCTTTATATAAACTAGCATATTTTAATTTTATGAGCTATTATAAGCTAGATATTGGTTAATACTCGTTACATTAAGACTGAGCAGCACAACAATAAGCACTTATTAAGAAATATTAGTGGTGCGGCACTGTCTGTGCCTGTCTGTGCCTTTTAGCATTTCTTGCATTAGTGAAAAAAACAAGCGAATCAGCAGGCTTCTTACTGATCTGAGACTGGGGGGGGGGGGGGTCTTGTACATCACCCCAGTGAATTATTTTCGCGAGACGGGAGTTTTAGAATCAGCAGACTAAGTGATTTCAATCTCCAAATCCAGTTTTACTCTGGGTTACTTCCTGCCTGGGGACTGAAGCTCAATCCTCCATAATACACTTTGATTTGCTTAGCCAAGAAAGCCACTGTTGTAGTTGAGAAAATGCAGTGGAGACAACAGTTCATCAGGCCATATGGTAACACTGCTGAAACATTCTGTAATAACTACTTTAAAATGTGAGGCACTGGTAGGAGGAATTTTACGCTACACCTGTAAATATCTGCAGTGCTAAACACTCTACATGTTTTAATGCAAACATTTTGACTAACAAGTCAAACTGAAATTGACCCCCTCTCTCCAAGCAAATGGTTATGTCCTTTTTTTCCCAGACTTATCCTCATTTTTGTGACCTAAAAATGACAGAAATGTCCAGAATTTCACTCTGTTTCATGTAGGCGCTGGCTTTCTGTGTGCATTTTTGTGTTGTTTTGTGACGCATCTCTTTGCATCCTGCCCCCAGCATCATTTTTTGGAAGGCAAAATATGGTCATCTTAAGGCTAAGCCGGAACACTACTGCACTCTATTAGAACACAACCATCTACTTCCCACAATATCAGGCATCTCAAGGCTTCTCACTGCTCATTAAGTTCCATGCATTTAAATATGATTTTCTTCTTCTAAGGTGTATACGCATATGTTACATACACCAATGAGCCAAAACACTAAGACCACTCCCAGGTAAAGCCAATAATGTTATCTATCTAGTAGGGTAGTAGTGTGTGTCAAAGTCTGGCATATATTAGATGGTAAACTAACATCAGGTACACGTAGCTGACATGCTGAATGCAGAAGAAATGGGCAGGGGTAAATATCTGATAAGAAATCATTACGGTCAGACGACTAGGTCAGAGCATCTCAGATAGGCCTGTGGGGAGCAGACAGTGAGCTGTGGTGAGTACTTAGTGAGAGTGGTACGAGGAGGAAAAAACCATGAACTGCTGATGCAAGATGTGAGTGAAGGCTATCCTGAGTGATAAAAACCAACACAAAGGTTACCGTAGTGAATTACATACACTTTATGAACAAAAGTATTGGGACATGTGGCCATCGCACCTACAGGAACTTTTATGACATCCAATTCTAAATCCATAGGCATCAGTAAGGAGTTGGTCCACCCTTTGCAGCTGCAGGTCAACCGCTAGTGAAGTGATTGTGAAGTTGGAACATCTATGAGGAAGTGTGGTTGCAAAACAATAGGCCACACAAACTCAGAAAGAGACCTGATATCCCAACATCAATACCCAGTCTGAATGGCAGCAAATCCCACCCGCCTCTAAGGGGAAGCTTTCCCAAAAGAGCAGAGGCTATTATAGCTACAAGGAGCCGACCAACTTCATATTAATACCCTTGAATTCAATATGACATGTTAGATAAGCTGGTGTCCACGTACTTTTAGCCATATATGGTATGAGTTCCATTGTCAGCTGTCGGCCATCCATATATTTTCCCTGGTCATGTACCTCATGTAATGTTCTACTTGAAAAGTCTGGTCTGTCCATGGTGGGATCCTAATTCAGGTTTTGTGAAATATCCATGACTTAAAAATTTGTTGAAATGTTTTTAATGTAGCACCAATGAAAAAAAAAATTAGAATTTTCAGTTCTGTATCGATGAATTATGAACTTTGATGTTGAATAACAACCTGGTGGATATAGGATGTCATACAAGCTTGGAAGTCAGGGAGATCTTCATGGCTGGACCCGGAGGGCCTTTTTAAACAGCCCTCAGAGTACCGAGAGACACAGCTGTGTTTGGGCGACTAGGATGCTAAAGCGCTGAAGCTTGTAGGTAGCCCTACTGGAACGGAGAGACGTGGCAAGAAGGAGGGGAACCATAAACAGGAAAAGCAACGGCTGTGGCTGAGATCGGGGCAAGATCACGGTGCAAACAGTCACAAACATTTATATGAATGGCATTGATGGAATCTGATGTTGAGGCAAGCAACTGTTATTATTCAGGAGAAGGACACTGACCTTAACACTACACAGGTGCAGTAGCATAATGACTCGTCAACTGAAAGCACTTCAATTCCTGAGGAAAAGCGAACAGCATTATTCCAATGTGGTTAAGACTGGGGTGACACTTTTCATTGAAACAATGCTCTTTCTGCAATTCATGGGCTAATTGGAGTTTAAACTTCAACAGGAGGTCAAGACAGTTCTGGCACTAAAGCTCACGAATAAGAGGAATTAACGTAACAATCATTTTTAACATAGCAGAAATTTGTCATGCTTTACAGTTAAATGGGCGACAGATGTTACCACTCTGTCATTTCCTTCGAATACATTTAAGACGTCATGACTGTTTTTGATGTTTCGGATGGATGGCTAAACGTTTTTTTTTTTCATTGGTATCTTCATCATAGACGGCAAAGCATGAAGATATCAAAAGAAAAGGGACATACATGGAGACAGGCTGGTGGCATGTGCATCGTCTGATGATCTCATGTTGGCCAAAGTAAAAATCCTGCAAAAGAAGTGAAGACAGCATAAAAAACACAGACATGCACGCACACACACACGCACACACACAGACACACACACAGACCGGGCAAAGCAGAGCGTGGCAGACAGAAAACAGTTTCATAACATGCAGAATAAGCCTTACTGTGGCATGTAAACCGATGCCCGGGTCAGTGTCACCTCGTACTTCAAAAAGCAGAAGAAACCCTGCTGGACTCTTTTAATTATTCTCTCGTTTGCCTGCATTTGCATGATTATCATGGTAGATCTCATTAACAAATTAAATTAACCTGACCTGCATGATCTCTAGTTCGCTGATACTTTGCGAAGTACTTAAAGTCTAGACTGTCTGAAGCTGATATGTAAATAGATCATCCATCCATCCATCCATCCATCCATTTCCAGAGCAGTTATCTGATGCTGGTTAAGGTCCTGCGGAGCCTAGAGCCTATCCCAAGCAGCACAGGATGGGCTGCCAGTCAATCACAGGGCACAAACACACAGATTTACACTACAGGCACTTCAGAGATACCAGTAGCCAATATGCATGTTTCTGGACTGTGGAAGAAAACCAGAGTATCTGGCAGAAAATCTACATGAGGTGGGGAGAACATGCAAACTCCACACACACAGAAGGCAGGATTTATCCCCAAACATCACTTACACACAGTGTTGCCTCTACAAGAAAAGACCAAATAATTGTAATTGGAATAACTGAGATACATATTCATTTACTTAGATGGCATTTATCTTGTGAATATGCTCGCTTAAGGTAAGATCTATGCACGTCTGCATCATTTCGATCCCGATTCGTTCTTAGCCTGAACTCTACATGAGTTAATCAGCCCATCAGCCATCATAGGATGCCCACGGCTCATTGGGTTTTCAATGCAAAAACATGTTTTTTGGCCTCTTATGTAAACTGGGGGCCTGAGTCTTTGACAGCCACCCCCAAAGAACTGAGCCTAATGGAGCCAAACAACGGAGAAGCCCTGCCTGTCCCCTCGTTCTCAGCCTTATTACAAAAGATTACGAACAACCATAATGAGGGCATCCCCAAAGCAGCCTTAAGTATAGCCTGAAAAGAGCAGAAGACTAAAGAACTTGACGGCAACTCGACATTCAAGCAGAAGTCAAGCAGACTGACTGATGACATAACTACTGTAGGATTAAAAGGTGCGACCCAGCGCAACGAGTCAGCGTATGCGCTGGCGAAGAGCTCCGTGTCACAGCAGGGTCTCTCCCGACCCGCTCTTACCGACATCAGATGGATCAGCTACCATGCCAGTCATATAGGTTCAGATCACAGCCAGAAGAGGCAGGGCGACCCGACACGTCCAATAATCCTTACACTGCATGCCTGTCTCTGCTATTCACCTTGCATTTGCAGCAAAACCGTTCCGTTTCCGCTGTCATCGCTACTGCAAGGCTGCGCCGTGTGCATTTCTGTATAATCGACAGCTCGGGACCTTTCTGAGTAGCTAATTCGCAGCACACTAGCTAAACAATAACTGGAGAACAAGACTGCAGGAACAAGCCACCTGACACTATTTACTTCAGAACGGAATTAATGTGATGTTGTGCTTTATGCTGTAAAGGCCGGAGGCCAACATACTACGAGAGACGATGACATGCTGAGAGTGGCTGCGCACTGAGACACGGCTGCGCACTGAGGAGATCCAGCCTGGCTGCGCACTGAGAGACGGCTGCGCACTGAGGAGATCCAACCTGGCTGCGCACTGAACTCCCAAACAACAATTCAATTTGATATTTCACTTCGAATTTAAAAATTAAATTAAATTCATCTGTTACATTGGATAACTCACCTCCCTCAACTCTGGAAAGCCTCTTTACATTCATCGACAGCTATTTCTACAACCTGGACATCATGACTACAAACGATAGGAAGAAAGCAAAACGGGATTGGTCCAACATACTACCGTCTGATAGACCTCAGCAGAGAACATCACGATATTCTTTCCAGAAGGATCTCCATGTCAAATCTATTACCCTTGTCATCTGTGGTGCTTATATATGTCTCCCTGTCTAGATCTCTAGACTCTGCTTTATACGCAAATACGTAAATACTCATTTGTGGCTTTCTGAGTTGACGCCACTGATACCTCATAACCGAAAGACTTTATTGCTAAATCCAGTAACAAGGTCTGAAAAAGTCTGAATGAACAAACAAATGGCCCGATCAATAAGTTAATTGAAGACTTCCTAGGAATCGATTTAATGCCCTCATTAAATATCTAATCCCACCGTGGAGACTTCCATACCTGGGGAATTCACAAGTATATATACATCCCGCATTGTGTTAAGCGTGACCTAATTCTTTAAGAATTGCATAAAAGAATGTGTGCATACAGACATAGCATTCGTTTCTTAATACCGTTCGACGTGAAATATGGAGAAGTTATGAGATATGACAGGCAGAATCAAGCAAGGCCTTCTGAAGACTTGAGGGACATCAGCAGAGGCTTCACAGGCTTCTGGGGGGATCTCAGGGCAGCTCAAGTTACCGTTTTCCAGCTGTACTCCCCTGGATCTGGGCTTCCCGAAATATCCACTGGGTTCCAGAATCCAGTCCAAAGAACTCAGGTGAAAGCATCCCCCTTCTGAGAAGACCTGTAACACTTGAAGTAGGTTCATTAATCACCCTTGTCTAAACCTGGCAATCTGTTGGATTTTTTAAGGTAATTTCAGCAGCGGGCAGATGCCTTCTCTAAGCCATAAGATCTCCAGGTGATATTCCGGTGCGTCTACCTCATGTGTTCGCTGACTCCTCGACACCTGACCTGACACGGCTGCAGAATGTTCTTCACGGTATTCGTGTTAACTGACCTTTGAAGCTTTTGGGGTCTTGTTTATCCCCCATCCATCATATTCTTCTGCACAGACTGAGTGTTGTATATCAGCTGCACTGTAGCGCTGGCCTGTCAGTGACTGTAGCACTATGTGAGAACTACACCTTACAGCTTATCATACCAGGCCCACCGCTCATTGGGTTTTCATTGCAAAAACATGTTTTTTGGCCTCGTATGTAATCCTATACCCGTCTTAGGCTGAATCCTAAACTGCTACAAGTCTATAAGGTAATCATTACTATAAACTATCTTATATAATATTTCAGGGGGATTATTCCGTAAAGTTCCATGAAGTTTCTTGTTGCTAGCCATCTTATTTACCGCTAAGAAACAACCTTTTTAGTTCCTATTTATGGATATTCATATAAGCTTTGGCACAACCTGCTATCGGCTATGCCGATAAAGTCAAGAGGTCATATTATAAAATATTTCACTCTGGGGAGGGTTATAATAATCTAGATTAACAGAAAATATCAGTATCATCAATCTGCCCAAGATGCCAATACTCTTAATCCCAGCCAGGGCGTGAGCCTGTACACAGATTAATGATGCTTGTCAACACAGCCCTGGTCTCTCAGATCACAGACGCCATGTCCAGATCCTGCAGATTGCCTACACTCCAATGCCGTCCCGCCACCAGCAGCTGCAGACCATGATTATCTTCTGGCTCGACATGCTCACACGGAGCTGTCAGGGGAACATCTCACCAGGTTCATCAGAGCCCACACACCGTGAGTTTACCGTGATCGACGTTATCAGGACGGCAGACTGTCTGCTGTTAAAATCACAGGTCTGTCAATTTCAAAACCCCCAAACTTCCAAGTAAACTTTAGTATGTCTGACAACATTAAAACAAAGTAATAATTCTATATAATTCCACATAAACTACTGACTCTTTCACTTTCACTGCCTGTTTTACGATTGGCACCTATCATGCTTTAACAGACTGTCTTTACATAAAAACACTGACATTTATGAATAAAGCTAAAGCTGATGGGAGTTTTAATTACATAAAAATGTTTTGAGGGCGGAATAAAAAGTGACTGATTCAGAAAGATAACCAATCAGATTGTAGAGGAGCCCTGATCATCCGCTCTTTCCGTGTGCCACGCCCCCTCGTTAACCCCGTGTGGAATCCCTGTGTGGAATCCCGGTGTGTTCAGCTGTTTCTGGTTGCTGTCATTAGTCCTCTGTATTTAGTCGGCGTTTCAGATTGTTTCCCCAGTCCGGTCATTGTATTGTCCGTCTGCGTTTTGCCTGCCTTACCTGTAATTAAACACCGTTTAATTTCATTTCCCCGCGCGTACAACTTATCTTAGGTCAGCGTTCACGGTTTGACTTTTGAGATTCATATCAAGTTCTAGGTCATTTTTTTTCGAACTGGTTGGTTCGACTTTTAAGAAATTCGACTTCTAATGAGTTCGAGAACTGAGGTACCACTGTACTTTTGTTAATCTTTTGCTTTAAAAGATATGGAACACCAGCAGAAAACAAAATGGAAGTGAGTCACATGGAGTAGACTGGATTACACAGTAATGGATAGATTTGGTTTCACTCAGATTTACAGGCACTGAATAATTAAGGCTGCATTAAGAACTTGTCAGACATTTCCGTTACAATAAAGGGAAAAGTTACGCACTGAATAGGAAGAACAGAAGGGTAGCTAATTATATTGCATATATCAAGTTTTACACAGTAGCCAGTATAATATCTTTGGAAGGTAACTGAATTGGCATCCCACCCTGGGTGTCCCCTGCCTAGCGCCCCCTGCTGCCCTAAATAGGCTCCAGCATTACTGTGAGCCTGTACTGAACAAGCCATGGGAAGATGAATTGATGGATGGAATGGTATTTGTTGGAATATGTCTTGGAAAGTCTAAACATAGCAGGATGATTTGCATAAAATCTGTTTCAGACAGCAAAGCATTACTCATTTTAACATCGAAAACTAAACCATTAGGGGAATCTCACACTAGGACATGCATTTCCTCTCAGCATTTCCCCCAAATGCCTCTTTTATGGGTATAATCACATTACAAAGACATGTTCCCAAATGAATCTAATATAAAAAAGAAACAGTTTTCCTGTTTGAACTTCTTAATCTGAATGTCCGTATAACTACACGAAATCCCTGT